CGGCACTCGTATTGTGACCCAGCAGACAACTTCTCTTCGCAACGGTGAAAGCATTAAACGGGTGTTTGTTTCTCTTGTTTCTTCCCTCGGTTTTAAGAAGAGCAAGTAAGACTGAACGCCAACCTTATCTTCGTAACGGTGAGAGCATTAAACGTTTTTTTTTGGGCCTTATTCCTTCCCTTGGTCTTTTGCCTTGTGAAGAGCAATTATGACTGAACACCAACCTTATCTTCGCAACGGTAAGAGCTTTTAACGATGAGACGTGGTTAATGTTGGATTTATTTCCTCCCTTGGTCTTAGGAATGGCAATTAAGCATGTGTGCGCGCGGGGGGCGGACACGTTACCTTGTTCATTTCCTTGGTCTTATTTAAGACCAATTGAGACTGAACGCCAACCTTATCTTGGCAGTGGTGAGAGTGCTAAACGAGGAGGCGTGTTTTTATGTTTAGTGCGTGTGCGCGCGGACGGTGACTACGTGGCCTTGTTTATCCCCTTCGTCTTACGCCAATTTTCAGCCTTGTCCTGATTGGTGGCACTTACGACCAGTAGTCTAAGCAGCAAAATTGATTAAGCAAACATTATTGGATAAAGTATTCAATCCGTGCTTTGGGGTTAGGGTTAGGGGTAGGGGTAGGGTCTGCGTACCCCCTCCCTATTATTTTTCTGTAATAGATGCTCTTAAAATCCTGCGTAGGCGGTCCTGTACGACAATATACCCCCGCCCTCCCCGCCCACGTTAAAACTACTGTTTTTTTTGCAGCATCACAATCTTGAACACCTGGCGCTGATGGAGAAGTGCGTGGGCTTGTTCCCGCCAAACATGCTTCTTAAGGCCCCGCGATCTCGCGACTTTTTCGACCTCACCAGCGGGCTGTGCAAGGGTGCGACCGAATGCGATTCGGAGAACAGGCGGCACATCCGACGCATGAAGCGTCTCGGGGTGAGAGTGAGGCACTCACGGAGAGAGAGGGGGGGGGGGGAGAGAGGCAGACAAGCAGACAGAGACAGAGGCAGAATGAGTGAGAGAAAGAGAGAGAGAGAGAGAGAGAGAGACAGACGGACAGAGACAAACCAGAGATAGAGCGAGCGACCCAACGCCTGCTTGAATGAGACAAACACACTTGGGGTGGGGAAACGAGAAAGGCCAAGGTTTAAGGTTCTGTAGATTTTGTTGCCGAAAAGGGGTGTGGCCTCACACCACCACGCCAAAAACACACTCTCTTTTCTTGCCCCCTACACTGCTAACCCCCCCCTTTAACAATGCTTTTCCGACACGTATCCCCGTAGGATATCACCGAATCGGTGGAGGACACGGGCATGGGAGACCTTCTCGATAAGCTTCTCACCCTCGACCCTAAGCGGCGAGCCACCGCAACAGAGGCCCTCAGCCACCGCTTTTTCGACGACGGCTTGTAGGGGAGGGGGGCACGCAGGCGCAAGAGGAGGGGGGGTATGGAAGAGGATTTTGTCACCCCCCGGGCCACATAAGGGATGTTAAGTTTTTGTCCACGGTCCACGGCACGATGACAAGGAATGGGATACGCTATATTTTTGTTTTGGTGGTGACGGCAGTTCTCTGTTTGTTGAAGAGAACATCGACGGGGACGATGCTTGTTGTCTTTGACGGAAGAAACCACCCTCCTCACTTTGTTTTGTTCCTTTTGGCCGTGCCCCCTCCCCGGCCTTGTGCCTCTCCTCAAGGCGACGAGATTTCCAATCCCGAACAACGCTTGTTATTCTCAATATTTTGACAAAATGTGTCTACGAGGGAGAATGTGTTATTTCCTAGCTGGTTGCGTCTGTGGCCCGGCAGTGGCTCCACCCTCCCTCCGGTGTGGCGAACTTAGACAAGAGGGTAGGGAGCCCCGGGGCGTGAATCGGGGGGGGGTGGTACGTGTGTGTGGATACCACCGAGGGCCCAGGAATTAAGCCTCATTTGGGGAGGGTTAGTTTTTGACCTTTTTTTGTTTTTTGTTTAACGACCGGCCCTGCTGCTGGGAAGGCGTACTACGTATGGTTGGAGTCGTTTCGCCTCGCTGCACGGCTTTGGCGTGGTGCAAGTGGTGATAATGTTGCTCTGTGCGGTTTAAAGTTTTGTTTGGCGGCGACGGCCCCCGCCGGGGGGCACGTGGTTGGTAGGCAGCACTCGTGGGTGACACAAGATACCACACCCCCTGGACCGTGAAAACAGAGTGGCGGTGCCAAAAGTGGCGCGTCTCGTGGAGATCTTTCCGAAAAACATACCAATTGATTTCGGCACCTTGAAAAAGGAGTCGAACTTTGAAAACCGATCCAGGGGGTGTGGTATCTTGTGTCACGTGTGTACGGTCTCTTGTTTCGTGTGGTTTTCGTGGAGGTGGAGGGTGGTCGTGGGCTTCGGTTCTTGTTTTTATCTACAATCACTTAAATAATCTGTTGGTAGCGGGGCAACACGGTGAAGCAAACGTAATAGGTACAATAGTTTATCTGGCTCCCGTCTCTACTGTCTCGGCCGAGTTGTTTTTTTGTGTGATCTGGTGGCGATAAAACGGTACGCGCTTGCTTGGTCCAGTTGTGGGCGGCAGGGTTGATGGGGAACCTGCTAAGTAAGCAGCGTGTACGGCGTTTGAGTATGGAATAAGGAGCATAGCTTAGTGCGACAGCGGTGGCAGCAGCAGGTATAGTCAGCAGTCGGAGTGCAGAGAGAGACGATTGGTTTTGTTTTGAGAGCTTTTTAGAGTAGTTCGGTACTACTAGTATGCACTCGTTTGGCCTCTTCTGCTCGGTTGGCCTGATGATGACGTGAAAGTGCGTGGGAAGTATTACTTTTGGTTTGCACGACCTCCCCCTACAGGGCAGAGCACCATTGGAGACATTGAGAATGTGGGCTACGGTAAGCAGTAACACCGCTGCTGCTGTGTTGAGTGGCATACATAGTCGACAGGATATGTGTGTCGGGATACGAAAATGATGATCATGTCGAGAGGCCCGAAATAGATTTTTCACAACATGTCGTCCCTAGTCCATCCAGGTGTAAAGCAGAGACGGCTCACTTAGCAGAGACAAGACAACATTGAATTGCTCCTGTAATTGTGTGTACATGTGGTCTCTTACGTGTGGTTTGGTGGGGCGCGTGTGGCATCACGTGTGCAAATATTTTGCACGTGAGACACGGGGCAGCGTTTTTGGCGCTAGTGCAAGACTGCTTGCCGAAGAAATTTCGTTTTAGAAGAATGTCATATGCATTATATTCGCTCAAAAGACTGCCTCTTCGAGATGATGCCATCGTCGAAGGGCGGGGGGGGGGGTGTACTCATAGTCGTGCATGCCGTAGTGGTTAGACCGTTGACCTCGCATCCCTACAACTTGGGACGGAGCACGCCGGGTTCTCACCCGACCAGGCTCCCACATCACCAAGCGCGAAGGGAGGATGTGTGTGTTGAAAGTCTGTCGGGTGGCTACCGAGAAGAAGAACCCACGAATCTGTTCTGAAAGCCCCTATGAGGTTCTGTCTCCGTTCGGTCCACTAATCTGTTCTGAAAGCCCCTATGAGGTTCACCCTGTCTTGAAGACCTTGAGGGATTCAGCCTCTACTGGAAAAAAACAAATAAAACGGATACACGGTTTTCTGATCCCACTTGTTTTTGCCCCAAGATAACCGCAATTGACTTGGTTTTAGAGTTAGCAATCTCCGGTTTCTTCTTCAAAATCAAGTAATTTTTCTTCGGTCGACGCTCTCGAGATTTCGTCGACGGACTTTCGAGCGAGACGGACGTAACCTTAGCTGGTGCCACCGTCCGCCCCTCCGTTGACCCAAGACATGGCACAATGTATGTAGACAATTATCTTTTTGTTATTTTGTCAGTGTGACCCAACGATTTCATCTTTAAAGAAGAAAACGAGTGCAAGATAGATTAGCAATGAATCCATAGCGTCAGCGAAAGTTCTGTTTGTCCACGATTTCCCGAGCAGCATTACTCTTTTTCGGCCACTACTACTTGTACTCTTCTTCTGTTTCGGCTCCCCCAACCCTAGTTTTCGGGGCTCATGATCTTTTTCGGCCCCACCACAATAATCTCGAACCATTGCCACACCCTTGCACGAATAGATCGCAGAATAGTAAAATCGAAAGAGTTGTTTGGAGCATGTGCCCTCTCTCTCTTGCGAGTCCGTCTGCAGGGACCGGGCTCCTTGCACAGAGACTTTGAAAGATTTTGCTTCTTTCGTTTGTTCTCCTTTTCCGAGGGGGGGCAATCTGCTTCCTCCCGGCGAAAACCTTCACTTGTATGGTTATTCTTTTTACCGCTCTTTTGCACTCACACAAAAACTCGAAAACCTTCCCCCCGAACAATCTGCAAGGCGGCTCCATGTATCGGCTTTTTCGCCTGTACCGAACTCAATTCAAGTCTGCCGCCATTTTGGCATCATCGTCGTCAAATGGGCGACCTCCAAACACTACCTTATCTTTTCTATCGGGAAAAAAACGCTTTCTCTCCTGCGCGAGTTACACATACTTTGTACGAGCATGAAGTCCGCCACACATCCATCCAAGAAACACGCTACCCTTCAAGACAACACCCCGAGTGTTGAGTGCATCGTCCAGTTGAAGCAGTTGGGGCAGATGGAGGATACATGTACCAACTCTCTCCCGCGGTTACACACCATATTCAACAACTTTTGTTGTAATTCAGCAATTAATTCTTGTTTGTGTGCTTCGAAATATTATCTTCTCGACACTGCTGGTATCCTCTCCAGCAATCAATTCGAGGGGAAATGGAAAAAAAAGGTTAGCCGAACAAACCCGAACCATCCAAGTCACGAAACAAGAAAAACAATTCTGGGGCACATCATACATATATGGGGCGCTAAACATGCCAAAGATCCCAAGCGGTTGAATACGAGGTACCCACATTACCAGGGGAGGAGGTCCACCTGGATGCTCAGTCCCTGCCGTGCCACAAAAAAAATAAAAGTTAGAGGGGTCTAACGCCCATTCCACGAGCTGCACAGTCCTTCACAACTAGTCGATTGGTTGGTGTGTGATTTACTCGCACACACACGCACACCGCGCACGCAGCACAGAACGAAGGCAGACTTCAGATCAAAACAGAAGCGATGAAAAACCAATACTCTCACCGGGGGAAAAGAAAAAGGCCTGACCACACTTACAAGTTGAAAATCATGCTTTGAGGTCGACATCCCTTGCAGCAAAAGCAGCACAAAATACTAAGCAGTGTTGCTATTTTCATGTACAACAGCAGAGCGCAGAAACAGCGTTGTTGCTGCTTTCTTCACGCGACAACACTACTCAAAGAGCGACACACGCATGCCAGAACCAATGCGGGGACACTAATATCTATCCTCTATCATCACCCCACCCCACTGCTATTGCATACGAGTCAGGACATTTCTCCCGTCGTATATTGTTGTGATTTTCTAGAAATTTCTCGCTAGTACCGAGACGACCGTGCAAGTCGATGGTGAGCAAGCTGGCCAGGGCCGTCGGCACTGACAACAAGAAATACGCCCACCTATTCTCTCGCCCACCCCCACGGCATGACGCGTGACATCAAAATATCTAACCAACCTTCGCCCCGGGCCCTCCCAAAAAAAACTCAAGAAATCGCACAAACAAAAAAAAAAAGCGTGGCCCACCACTAAAATTGGAGCGGACAAATTCCAAGAAATTTGCCTCTACAATCGGGCTTGGGTTGTCTTGCTGTGCACACACGACGCAGCGGCCGCACCGCACCTACATCGAAGAAGAGCATAGAGAACAAAGGGTGGAGGGAGAGGAACAGCAGAGCAGCCAACCTACGACCAAAGACTTCGCCTCCTCCGGTTTGGCACAGCAAACGCAGGGGTCGTTGCCTGGTAGACACACCTTACACAAGTGAAACAACAGTATAAATGTCGGCAACAGATGTTTCACATACAAAAGCGCTAAACCCTCGGAGTGGGGGTGGGGGTGGGGGTGGGGGGGGCGTGGCGGGTATAAGAAGAGACGAAAAACAACAATGAATTGTAGTAAGAAAAATACACTCGACAGCAAACACGGCTCCAAACGAGACCAGGAGAAGGTACGAGAGGAGAACCAGAACAATCTCAGCGAGCTACAGCACACTACGCCGGCCAAAACACTCGGCGGAAGAAGCAGCAGCGGCTGCTGCACTCCCACTAACTACTCCGCTCCGGCTCCTCACACCCAAATCTAGAGGTGTGCAACAAAGCAGACCCGACGAGCAAGCCTATAGTACGGCGGTGGCGAGCGACCAAACGACCGCCGTGGCACCCGAAACGGCACCAAACCCGCCGCATAACCGTGCCACCGCCGCCGCGTTCGGAGCAAGCCTATACTGCGGCGGCGAACATCAAAGCGGCCGCTGCGGCACCCGAAACGGCACCAATCCCGCCGCATGACAGTGCCGCCGCCGGAGCGGCCCCGGAGGCGTCCTCGGCCCCGTCGGTGCTCCCCGTGTTGGTGTCGGTGGCCGGCGAGGAGGTGCCGTCGGAGACGGCGGGGGCATCGTCGGTGTCGGCCACCGTCGAAGGGGCCAGGGAGGCCGATGATGATGGCGGGGTGGTGGTGGTGACGCCTCCGCGAGAACCGTCTTCCCCCGAAGGGGAAGGAGTCTGGCCGCCAGTGGGTGAGGGAGGCGTACAAGGTGGGGGGGGGGGGGTTGCGTGCCTTAGCGGATAGACCATTGACCACGCGTCCTCGAGAGGACGGAGCGTTGTTCCGACAGGACCGATCATCACCGATGGCCAATCATTCCTTCCTACTTTGAAGGGGTGTGTGTGTGTGTGAGCGCAAGAGGGCACCGCTTGTCCACGGACAAGAGAAAAAAAGGGGTCAAGAACGCGAGGGATGGTGTCGAACAAGTCTGGAAACGAAAATAACACCACGGCGACCAAAGGGCTACCTCTCCTGGGGGCCGTGTGTTTTGCGATACGACAGAGTGAGAGTGCGAGTCCGAGTGGGAGTGAGTGAGAGAGCAACAACGACTGGAACCGCAGAAGAACGCGCAAGGCCAGTCAACGATTGCCCATACACTGCTGCTGCTGTCGTGCTCACCGGAGCTGGCGAAGTGGTAGTCGCGGGCGTGCCCGACTCTACCGACGGTCCGGGGGTCCCCGTCTCGCTTTCCAAGGCAGGGGAAGGCGTGGTGCGTCCCTCTCCCTCCACCCCGGTTGGCGCGGGGGAAGGAGACCCCGTGGTTTCGTCGTCCTCCTCCCAAGAACACGCGCATTCCCCAGTCAAGAAGGCCCGCGCCAGGGGGGGGGGGGTGTACTCATAGTCGTGCATGCCGTAGTCGTTAGACCATTGACCTCGCATCCCTACAAAGCCGGGACGGAGCACGCCGGGTTCTCACCGGACCAGGCTCTCACATCACCAAGCGCGAAGCGCCGTGAGGTATTCGGCGAGTCGCATGAAGGGTGAGCTGCATCCTGCTAAGGGTGTTCGGCATCTTGTGCTTACTTCCTTGCGTACGTATGACAGCTACGTATGACTTAATTTATTTTCTGGTGCTTTCACTTCCAGAGACAGTTGTAAGCACTGTGTAACTGCCTCGAGGATGCTTGACCATTTTAACACAACGTGGTGCGATCATCCCCCGTTGCGCGGAGTGAGGGTTCTCGACCCCGCACAACATGATCTACTCGACCACCATTATGGTTACCGCCAAAAAAAAAAACAGAGGTAAAAAAACCCGGTAACCTGGTTGCCGAGTTCACGAAGTGAATTGGCTTGTTTTACAACGTCGTTGCCAAGCGACGAAAACCCAATCCCGATGGCAAACACCGAGTGGGGGGCTTGTTTTACAACGTCGTTGCCAAGCGACGAAAACCCAACCCCGATGGCAAACACCGGGGGGGGCGGCTTGTTTTACAACGTCGTTGCCAAGCGACGAAAACCCAAACCCCGATGGCAAACACCGGGGGGCGGGGGGGAGGGGGGTATCACACATTAGCATCGACCACTCAAAACCGGCTGACCGATGAAAAGACATTTCCTTTGTTAAGGCCATCATGTGTGTGTGAGTACTCATGTAAAACGCATGCCGCTATTCGTTAGACCATCAACCTCGCATGCATATGCCGGGTTTTCGCTGAACCCAGGCTACGTGGTCGGGCGGAGGGGGGGGGGCGTCCTTGAACCCTGAATGATGCGACGAAACCCACCGTCAGGGAGGTCACCTCATCAGCGGAGTTTTCTAGCCTATTTCTTGCCCGCCCTGATTTTCACCACTATGTAACGGAAAAATGAATTGGGTGTAGGTTCTGGTGTGTACCGACCGTATACCAAGACTGGCACATAGAATATTTCTCCCAAAGATATACCATGATCTTTGAAGTATGCTCGCCCCCAATCAAGATTTGAGATTCAAAATCTGAAAAGCAACCTATAAAAAATAAATACCATTCCATCATGACCCGCACCACACAAACATTAAAAAGAAAAAATGCTGCTCCGGGAACCGCAAATTACAAGTTGGTCATCATATGCACACAACACTTTGCATTCAGTGCTAATCTTCTATGCCGGGCTCTTTTCTGTCGGTTTGATTTTTGTGTGTTCTCGGAAGAAAAATACAAGACCAAAAATCAGCGTGACCAGAATCAATCACAATACTAGGTGGACGACAACTTTGATCTACAACGCACCTCATTGGCTGGCGGGAGGGTCACCCCCTCGTCGGACGCAATTGGCGGGGCCGTTTCGGGCAAGGGTGTGGAGGCGGGTCCCTTGTTCGTAGATATATAAATAGATGTTGTTCGGAGCAAGTCGTCAGGCAGCCGCACGGGGGAGGGGGGTTCGAAGTAGAGCAACGACGGCACACGAGGGGGAGGAGTAAGACTAAATAGAGCAAGCGGGTGCGAGGGCAGGGAGGGATGATATAGGTGGGAGAGTTCACCGTATGTATGTTGCGCGAGGATACGCTGAAACACAGGGGATAAATACACCATGAGCAATCGTAGACATCCAATCCACGGATAGAGAGATTTATTTATCAGGTTGTGGGTGTTTGTGTAAACGACACAAGAAGACAGAAATACAGAAAAAGAACAATCACGGGATGATCGCCCCACACGACAATAATAAATAATCCCCCGGGGTATGTTCACTTACACAATCCGTGCCAAGATCAGGGGTCGCATGGAACGGCTTCCCGGGGGTCTTTTGCGAACATTTCGAACGCACGCAGTCTCATGTATTCGTCCTTCATCGCACTTGGTCTCGGCCGTAAAATCTCCAGCAACACACAACAAAACGAGCTCTTTTTACGCGTGTGTCAAGAGTACCGTTTGTTTTTGGCCCTCCGCGGGTCTTGCTGGTGTGACGTGCCGCTCAAGCAAGTCTTGCCGTGGGAGAATTCGACACGCCACGATAGTTCTCGGGGTAATTCACCTAACACACACAGATTATTGCTACTACGAGCTTGCGAGGAATTGTGTGATCGCTGTTCATTGGCGGTCGTTAATCGCCCTCTAAGCTAGGCATAGCTGCTTGACTGCTGTCCTACATAGGTCGTTCTCCGCAGATATGCACATGTAGGATTTCATTTTCTTTGGTGCTCGCGATCGTTTTTCTCTGCTGGGACAGTTTTTTGTCGCAATTTCTTCTGGATGGCACGTAGAGGACCCGTCGGTACATTGCCCGTTACGCGTGGGGCTCGCGAGACACCGGTGGTGCGCGTTAGGGTCGCCTAAAGTCCCTGGGACTTGCTCTTTTTTCAGGGGTTGGGTGGGAATCCGAACCATAAAAGCCTCCTCGAACGGGATGGAAACTGGCAACATAACGTTTTTTATTACCCACGCCACGCGCCCACGCGCCCACGCGTCCACATAGCAACTGGCGCAGGACTACCCGCAGCGGGGACCAAGACTCTTGATGTTGCTCATGGGAACACACCACGCGACACAGAAGTCCTCTCGCACAACTCTGGCAGCGGTCCTTTAAATTTCAATTCCGAAAAATCGAAAAATACAAATATAGAAGTTGTGGTACTGTAGCAGTCTACGTCTGTGACTGTTCTTGGGCACGTCGAGCGTCTTTTTTAATCTGCTTTTGGTGTTTGCGTGAAAAAGTTCCACAGACCATGGGAACACGGTAACACAAGAAAAGTAAGTGATCAAACGCAGCGGATTACAGCAGTAGGACCTGCAGCAAAGACAGCGCTAGCCTACATAAAAGTACACGCTCGCCCACAAGGGAAAGTCACGGCGGGAGAAAACAAAATACCCCGCACATGTGTGTGATGTAGATTCCAGGCAAATTAGTATGAAGTATGCAAGTTGCACGCAAACCGGCACTACCGAACGTCATGACGACCAACCATGCGACCGCGATGACATTGATTGGCCATCTTGCGTCGTCCCCGGGAGGCAAACCACCTAACTCCCGCAGGGGAACCTTGTATATTGTAGTGCACTGTATTGTAGTATGCCCAGGTGAGTTATGCATGACCGGATTGATGATAAAGCCTTATCTGTTTCATGGTATACTTAACGGAGAATCGAACTCCGGGTGTAACCGTGGGATGGTTACATGTTTTCGGTTTCGGTTCAAGTAAATTTTTCGGTTTCACGTTTTCGGCTTAGCATTTCGTTTTTTTCGGTTTATTTACAACCTTTTCGTTTCGGTTAATCTTTTCGGATTCACGCTTTCGGCTTAACTTTTTCGTTTTTTTCGGCTTAATATTCTCGGCTCAACCTTGCTTTTCGGTTTCGGTTTATTTGTTTATCTTTTCGGCTTATTATTTTCAGTCCTTTTCGGTTGAACCTTTTTGGTTTCAAGTTTTCGATTTCACGTTTTCGGTTTATCCTTTTCGGCTTAATCTTTCGGTTTCAAGTTCTCGGCTTAAATTTTTTCGTTCTTTTCGGTTTAATCTTTTCGGATTAACACTTTCGGTTTTTCGGCATAACCTTTTCGGTACTTTTCCCTTTCACGTTTTCAGGTTCACGTTTGTTTTCAGTTTCACGTTTGGGTTTCACGTTTTCGGCGTAACCTTTTCGGTTTCACGTTTTCGATTTCATGTTTTCGGTGTATCCTTTTCGGCTTAGGGTTATTGTTAACGCAACGAAAAAAAAACGCTTTTTTCCACGGAACGGTGAAAAGAAGATCCGATTATTTTTCGCTTGTTCTAATCGTGATGTCATCGCGAAACGCACGTTTCCTTCCCTGAATACACGTTTTGCTCGACACACAACAGGTTGACATGGTATTGCTCACCATAGAGCAGCGGTGAAAGCGCAATGAGCAGCACCCGACACAGAGGACAACACACTTAGAAAGATCCCGTCCACCTGGCCTGCTGTTTTCAGTTTTCAGCAACAACAGGCTCAGGGCAGAGTGTCGCCACCTGGGTGTTGCTTGCGATTTCTTCAGTTTGCCAGCCCATTTTTCACGGTTGCGACTCCCATCTTTGACCACCACCTGCCCAAAGGTAGACGAGCTTAACAATCATAGGGCGGCAGCCGCGCTGACGGCCAGCATCATATAGATGGCCAATCCGAAAGAATTAGCGTGTCGGAGGCCCTGTTGCTCTACTGCTGCGTGGTGCCGTGGATTGATGTTGATGCGTCCGACCAAAAACGCATCATCTCGCCGCATTTTTTCCAACGGCATTTTGGTGAGGTGGCACACGTCTCTACCACACTTTATTGAGCAGCACCCAAGCACCCAATACCCACGAAGCAGCACGGCGCCGGGAGATGGTATCATATGGACAGCCCAACCGAAGGAATCAGCGCGTTGGAGGTCTTGCTGCTGCTGCTGTACTCGTTCTACTGTTTCCGTGTTTGCTATGTGTGATTGAAAAAAATCCCCAAGCACCAACAGCAGCAGTTGAAGACGAGAGCACCACGCAATGCCTAGTTTTGGGCCAAGAACGGACTGAACGCCGCTTCTGCCGCTTGTCCATCTCCACAACAGACCTGGACGTGAGTCTGGCAGGTCTTTCTAGCGTTCTCAGTGATGTTCCAGCGCCCGCGGTGCGCTTGTCCGATGCTTCTGTCAAAAACACGAATTCGTTTAAGTAGCAAGCCCCAAAAAAACCCGGCTCCTTTTCACGCTTTCGGGGAAAAACGCCTCCATATGTGTTCAAGAAAACACGGTTTCGTTTTTTTTTTCGTGTTTTATTGGTCGGTAAGAAGCACCCTTAACCTTTTCGGTTTCACGTTTTCGGCTTGACTTTTTTCGTTCTTTTCGGTTTCTTCGGCATAACCTCTTCGGTTTCGGTTTAATCTGTTCGGCATAACCTGTTCGGTCCTTTTCGGTTGAACCTTTTCGGTGTTGCGTTCTCGGTTTCACGTGTTCGGTTTATCCTTTTCGGTTTCATGTCTTCGGCTTAACTATTCCGGTTTTTTCGGTTTAATCTGTTCGGCTTATCCTTTTCGGTTTCATGTTTTCGGCGCAACCTTTTCGGTTAATCGTTTCGGCTGAACCTTATCGGTTTCGGTTTAACCTGTTCGGCTTAAACTTTTTCGGTCCTTTTCGGTTAAACCTTTTCGGTTTCACGTTCTCGGTTTCACGTGGTCGGCTTAACCTTTTCGGTGTAACCTTTTTCGGCTTCACGCATTCATTTTCACATTTTCGGCTCAACCTTTTCGGTTCTTTCGGTTTATTTAACCGTTATTTTCGGCTTAACCTGTTCGGCTTAAACTTTCGGTTTCATGCTTTCGGCTTAACTATTCCGTTTTTTTCGGTTAATCTTGTCGGCTGAACCTTTTCGGTCCTTTTCCGTTAAAACCTTTTCGGTTTCACGTTCTAGGTTCACGTGTTCGGTTTATCCTTTTCAGCTTATCCTTTTCGGCTTTATGCTTGCGGCTGAAGTATTTCGTTTTCTTCGGTTTCATGTTTTCGGCTTAACCTTTTCGGTTTCATTTTTCGGCTTAACTATTCCGTTTTTTTCGGTTAAATCTTTTCGGCTGAACCTTATCGGTCCTGTTCGGTTTAACCTTTTCGGTTTCACGTTCTCGGTTTCACGTCTCGGTTTATCCTGTTCGGTTTATCCTGTTCGGTTTATCCTTTCGGGTTTCATCCTTTCGGCTGAACTATTTTGTTTTTTTCGGTTTAATCTGTTCGGCCTAACCTTTTCGGTTTCATGGTCTCGGCTTACTATTTCGGTTTTTTCGGTTAATCTTTTCGGCTGAACCTTTTCGGTCTCGGTTTAATCTTTCGGCTTAGCCTTTTCGGTTTCGCGCTTTCGGTTTCACGTTTTGGGTTTATCCTTTTCAGCCTAACCTTTTCGGTAATCTTTTCGGCTGAACCTTTTCGGTCTCGGTTTAATCTTTCGGCTTAGCCTTTTCGGTTTCGCGCTTTCGGTTTCACGTTTTGGGTTTATCCTTTTCAGCCTAACCTTTTCGGTTTCTTTCACGTTTTCGGCTTAACTTTTTTCGATTTTTTCGGTTTAATCTTTTCGGCTTATCCTTTTCGGTTTCTTTCAAGTGTCTTTTCGGTTTCACGTTCCAGTTTATCCTTCCCGGCTTTACTACTATTTCGGTTTTTCGGTTTAATCGGCTTAACCTTTCTTTTCGGTTTCGGTTTCGATTTAATCTTTTCGGCTTAACCTTTTCGGCCTTTTCGGTTTCACGTTTTCGGGTCAACGTTTTCGGTTCTTTCGGTTTATTTAACCTTTCTTTTCGGCTTAACCTTTTCGGCTTATCCTTTTCAGTCCTTTTCGGTTTCATATTTCGGCTTAACTTTTCCGGTTTTTTCGGTTAGTCTTTCGGCTGAATCTTGTCGGGTTCGGTTTAATCTGTTCGGTTTATAACTTTTTCGGACCTTTTCGGTTAAACCTTTTCGGTTTCACGTTCTCGGTGTCATGTTTTCGGCTTAACTTTTCGTATTGTTCGCTTAATCTGTTCGGCTTAACATTTTCGGTTTCATGGTATCGGCTCAACTATTGTGATTTTTTCGGTTAATCTGTTAGGCTGAACCTTTTCGGTTTCAGTTTAATTGTTCGGCTTAACCTTTTCGGTCCTTTTCGGTTTAATTTGTTCGGCTTATAATTTTCGGTCTTTTTCGGTTTACCCTTTTCGGTTTCACGTTCTCGGTTTCTTGTTTTCGGTTTCACGTTTTCGGTTTCACGTTTTCGGTGAATGCCGGTTCCAATTAGCGGGGAAATTTCCCCGATAGAAAACACGGCACGGTGAAAAGAAAACCGGCTCCTCTCCGCTTGTTCCAATTGTGATGTCATCGCAAAAGCACGGTTCCTGCGCTGAATACACGCTTTGGTCGACATACAGCAGGTTGACTGGGTTTTGCTCACCATAGAGTAGCGGTCAAAGCAGAAAGAGCAGCACCCGACACAAAGGACACAAAGGACAGCATACTTAATAAGGCCCCGTCCACCCGGCCTGCTGTTTTCAGCAACAGGCGCAGCGCGGACTGGATGTTGATTTCAATTTCTTCAACGTCCCCTTTCTTTGACCAGCACCTGTCCAAAGGTAGACGAGCTCAACCGTCATAGGGCGGCAGCGGCGCTGAGGTAGCATGTCAGCATCGTATACATGCAATCCGAAATAATTAGCGTGTCGGACGCCCTGTTGCTCTAGTGCTGCATGATGCCGTGGATATGTGTTGTTGATGCCTCCGACCAAAAACAGGCCATCTCACCGCATCTTTTCAAACGGCACTTTGCCCGAGGTGGCACACATCCTTCACACACCTTGAGCAGCACTCGAGCCCCAAATACCCACGAAGCAGCACAGCGCCGGGAGTGAGTATCACATAGACAGCCGAGCCGACGGAATCAGCGCGTTGGAGGACTTGGCGCAGACGCTGTGTTCGTTCTACTGTTTCCGTGTTTGTCATGTGTGATTGAGAAAAAATCCTGAACACCAACAGCACCATCAGTTGAAGAAGACGAGAGGGCCATACAATGTCTCAGTTTGGACCAAGAACGGACTGAACCCGGCTTCTGCCGCTTGATTATGTCCGCAATAGACCTGGGCGTGTGGCAGGCTTTGCTAGCGTTCTCAGTGATATTACAGCGCCCGCGGTGCGCGTGCCCGATCCTTCTGTAAAATAACCGGATCGGTGAAAGGAGCACACAGGCGTTTTTTCGCCCTTGCTTCTTTCCCCGGTCCGGTTCTTCATAGCTAAAAATGCCTCCGTATATATGCACGCAAGAAACTATTCCGGGAATATTTGCCTGATTAGCCTGATCCTTTTCGGTTTCACGTTTTCGGCTTTAAATTTTGCGTTTTTTTCGCTTAATATTTTCGGCTTCACCTTTCTTTCGGTTCCCGTTTAACCTTTTCGGCTTAACCTTTTCGGTCCTTTTCGGTTTAACCTTTTCGGTTTCACTTTTCGGTTTATCCTTTTCGGCTTAAACTTTTCGATCTTACGTTTTCGGTTTCATCTTTTCGGTTCACCTTTTCGGTTTCGGTGTTTTCAACCATTTCGGCTAGCTTATCCTTTTCGGTCCTTTTCGGTTTCGCGCTTTCGGTTTCACGTTTTTGGGTTATCCTTTTCGCCTTTTCTGTTTCTTTCACGTTTTCGGCTTAATTTTTTTCATTTTTTCGGTTTAACCTTTTCGATTATCTGTCTTTAAACCCGGAGAGTAGCCTAGCCTCCCCCATGACGCCCCCTCACGGGGTCGCAGATCATGGTAGCCCTACGAATAATTTTGTATTGTTCAACCGTACTGAGACTGACGTCTTTTCATTGGTCAGCCGGCTAGCGCGGTCGGTCGATGCCAATAACAAAAGCACGTACAGCGAGGGCTCGCATCCCCGACTCACCGGTGTCCCGTCCCCCTCCCCGCAATCGGCCACGGGGCCGCACACTTCCGACGCCGAGCAGACGGGGTAAGTAAGGGTGCACTCCTCGCCTTCTGAGCAAGGGCTAGGGTCGCACGTGTCCGAGCAGAAGTACGAGGCGTCCGAATAGGAGAAGTAGCTCCGGGAGCACACCTGCATGGTTTGTTATGAATGAGGGAGGGGAGTTCCGTGGTGTGCGTATCAACACAGTGGAAGGTGCGTCGCTTTGCCAAAAGGGGGTGTCCCGTAGGTTCGTGAGGGGTCCCGCAGAATGGGTTAAAAAAACGGTTGAGTGCTGTTGCTGGATGGATTGCTTGGTGTTGGTACCGGCAGAGTGTTGCAACATTAGCGAGAAGGGGCCCCGCAGAATGGAAACAACCACCGGTTGGTTGTTGCTGGATGGATGACTCACTGGTTTTCGGCCATGGTGTTGGAATTTGGTGCTGGTGCAAGCTGGTGGGTAGCAAGAATGCTACAGCATTTGCGAGAAGGTCGGTCAGTGGCGAGCAGGTTGGAAGTGTCGTAGAGACTCTCCCGGTCTGCGTTGCCCCTTCGCAGTACGACCTTGGTAAGACCGGATGCATGCGTGGACGGGCTGTCGGGGATGGTGGCTCGCACAACTAATTAGGTCATCGATGACGACGACGGTGGTACAGCTGTAACCCCGTGGCCGGGAGTACAGAGGCAACCCCCCCGCACGCCAATCGGCAAAAGGCGTGGGTGCGTGTCTCGCGAATTTTCGCACACTATGTCGTCTAGTTGGTCGGCAAACGTCGTGCGTTTCTCGCAAATATTTCGCACGCCATCTGGTCTGGTTGGTCGGCAAAAGGGCTGCTACGCGCGTCTCTCGCACTCCTCCTCGTTGTCTTTGTTGCACAGGCACACCTGAAACTCGCCGCATTCCCCGTTGCAGGGGTCGTAGTCGTCGCAGCCCTCCTCCAGCTCTACCCGGTCTGCCTCGTCCCACTCCCGGAACACGCCGCAGATACCGGCAGCGCGGAGACTTCCGTCGCTGCAACGACATCAACGTCAACATCAACATCAACATCAACGATTTTTTAACAACGACGGCGGAGAGAGAAAGAGAGAGAGGAATAGGGAGGTTGGAGCGTACGAGTACGCGCCACAGAACTCAACAAAAACAAACACAGCGATAGAGAGAGACAGAGACAGCGTGGTTGGAGCGAAATAGTACGCACCACAGAACTCAACAACAATAATAACAAACAACAACAACAACAATAGAGAGAGAGAGATACAATAGTGTGGTTGGGGCAAAAGAGAACGCGGCATGGAGCTCGGCAGCGCGGAGACTTCGGCTGCTGCTCTATGGATAGAGATAGATTTGTTGTGTACAGGAAGAAGCTCTAGACTAGTTTTGGTCGAGGCTAGGGTTCTCTTAGCTCCTAGGGTTATGCTACGAATGGGCCACCATAGTTCTTCGGTAGGGGTTCCTCAACCGCCTTCACAAATCGTGCTCAAATTCTAGTTGTTCGAGGCTACAGCAGCACCGGGATCGCTTTAGTGCAGGGGTGTTCCAGAGATTTTACCTGCACTACAGCGGGCACCTGCACTATTCAGGGTCGAGGAACATACAGGTTCTAGCAACCAGCTTAAGTCTGTGTCAGCAGACTTCACCGGTACCATACCTAGCACCTGCACCATCAACCTAGCGACCCCAGTACTGTATAGTATCAGTTTCAAGTGCTCCGGTGCGCGGGCGCTAACGGTGCATTCAGAACAACATCAAAAAGATGGTTACCTCTGTCGGTTGAGGTCGATAAGGTACTCCGTCGACCCATCCGCGTCCATGAACACCCCGCAGAGGCCCGAGTTTCCAGCCGTGGTGATCTCAAACTGACTCCCGACCTCGTCGTACTCGTTGGGACCGGGGTCCTCCGCCTTGAAGACCTCGATGGTCTCGAGCGTGTAGGTGTCGTCGGAGTTGATGTCTTCGCCGTCGACCCTGCCAAGGGGACGGACGGCAGTTTATGTACCGTTTGTTCCAATGGAAGATATCGCCCCTCGTTGATGATCCCTTGTAAAAAAAATGAGCCAAACCTTAGATTGATTGACGTTTGTGTAATTTTTATTATTTTTATTTGCATGTGTTCGCCTGGAGAGGTACAGAGGAACACGACAGAGTAGATCCGATGCTTTGTATTGTATTTTCGCATGCCGAAGCTTTTCCGAGTACACAGTATATGCACATCTAATCTTGCTTTTGTTCACCACGGGCGTGTTTTCGGAACACATGCAGCCGGCCGCGACGGAAAAGCATCCATCACTCGATGATGATAACAGAGATAATAACAGAAGAACCACGCACGTGACGTGTGCGTTAGGCTTGGGATCACAACACACCGACAAGCACAGAGAGTCCACGCGGGCTCTCTGCTGCTCCAAGATGCGACTATGTACTGCTGTGGTTTACATATCCAACGGGTAGTCTTTCTGTGTTTGTGTTGATCCTCCTAGTAGGTACAAACACTAGGAAACACAAGACTATCCGTTATGTAGACGCTCGGTGAAAAATTCAAAACTTGGTAAAAACGAACCCTCACATTGTATCCACGTGGGCTCTGCTCCATGACACGTATGCATACCTTCAGTGTGCCGCCTTGCGTCCGCTATACAGCAACTTCAATCGAGGAGTTAGAGGGGGTGCACGTATGTGCGGTGTAGAGGCTAGGGACCGACACGCCTCGACCATGCTCTTCTTCCGATCACAGCGCCAACAGTCACATACAGCGAAATGTTACCTAACAGACCACTTCCGATTGGAACCGAATTGCTCCCACAACGAGTCAGTCGCAGGCGTGTGCCACTGCATTTCTTATATATTGTTGTTTTCCACACCTCTTTTTGCCTCTTGTGGGAAGAGGCAAATGCTCTAGATGAGGGTAAGTGTTAGCAGGGCGCTGTGGCGTACGTCCACCCCTCCTGCTCAGCTTCTCACTCGCAACTGTTTAGAGGATGGGTATGTGGGGATCATGCAAGGTTCTCCTGAGAAATTTGGTGCAAGAATGGTTGTTTACCTAGAGAAAAGTGATCACCGGAGCGAACGCAACAGGTTGTGCCAAACTTTGCACTGCGATGCACTCGAAATGGCGGACGTGTGGCCCCTCTGCTGCATCGCAATCGCCGACACCGCCATGAAAACTGAAAAGCAGTGGCCAAAATCGGGTACACCCGGTCCAACCACGGACATCGGGTACCCCTACTAGATGGTGCTGGGAGCAACCGCATGACACCATCTGATTGGCCGACGCCCGCCCCTACCCGACCTTAACCGTCTCCACCGGGTACATCCGATCTTGGATACTCACCCCCCGGAGGGGTACCCGGTTTTTCTTTCCCCTACCCGAAAATGGCTGGGCTGTTTGGCCAAAACCTATGCACAACAAGCACACGTCAGCAATGCCCTGCCTTCGAATTCGGACGTTCCGACGGCGGGCGAAGGCAGACCCACCGCCGGCGGTGGAACTCTCGCTTAGGGGAAACGGCAGACGGTCGGTGCAACTAGCTAGTGCAAATGATCGAGAAGGCCTGGATGAAAACCTCACTCACGAGATGCGACACAAGCGAGACTCGTCACCTAAAAATACCATAAGACATATTGTCTGCCTCCGCGGCTTTCTCATTGGCTACAAACGAGCGGCCAGCGGTGTGTGGTCCGACCCGTGATGGTGTGCGTGCATGGGTTTTGGCCGAACAGCCCAGCCATTTTCGGGTAGTGGAGAGAAAAATCGGGCACCTCTCCGGGGGGTGAGTAGCCAAGATGGGGTGCACCCGGTGGAAAGACGGTCAAGGTCGGGTAGGAGGTTGGCGTCGGCCAATCAGATGGTGTCATGCGGTCGCTCCCAGGTGCGTCTTGTAGGGGTACCCGATTATGGCGTGGTTGGACCGGGTGTACCCGATTTTGGCCACAGCTCCATTTGTTAATAGAGATACAGATGGCACTTTTTGTTTGCGTGTGTCCGGAAAACCGCCATGACAAAACAAGTTTGTTTGGCGAGCAACTGGCTCGTCTTTCGCTGCCATTAGCGTCCGTGGTGAAATCCTGCCCCTGGGATGCTCAAGAGCCCTTTAAGGGCGCGCCGCGTTCGGTTTTCGGCGATTGCGATGCAGCAGAGGGGCCACACGTCCGCCATTTCGAGTGCATCGCCGTGCAAAGTTTGGCACAACCTGTTGCGTTCGTTCCGCTGATCACTTTTCCCTCGGTAAACAACCAATCTTGCACCAAATTTCCCAGGAGAACCTTGCATGATCCCCACATACCCATCCTCTAAACAGTTGCGGGTGAGAAGCTGAGCAGGAGGGGTGGACGTCCACCGCGAACAACCCGAGAGGTCCGCCGCTTGCCGACTGCCAGGTTGCTGTTGTGACGTGCTGTTATGACGTGGCCACACCACATGGGGAGCTATCCCTCCCGAGAAGCACACACCAACGCGTACATGGCCTCTGCGGTACTGACACGATGTCTATGCATGTGACACTTTGAATCGAGCCTCGTCCGACGGACGGAAAGCCACCAATTCGTCTGTGCAATTGAGGTTTGACAACCCACGGGAGATTGCCCCACAGACCAACACATCCCACACACGTTTTTTTTCGGCGCCAGTCACGTGCAACAACAATGCGCAGTCACCCTCCCTTTGGGTTGGCTCTTTTTGCTCTCTTTCTCCTCTGTGCTCGGCGGTGGATGGAGTTCGCGTGGATGGGGGTAGGTGGGCACGCGCCGTGCACGCGAGTTGACCGTGGTTCCGCAACTATGGTTGCGGTTCACCCAAATCGGGATCCGATTAAATGATTTCACCTTTTTTCATATCCCGATTTGGTTTTGGGTCGTCCTGTTTTAAGTCCTAAAGATTCGACGGGTTCCATAACATTTCAGCCAATCAACGAAAGAGTTCTTTGGATCTTCCGGTCTTATAACCAACTCTGAATGTGATTTCGAGATCTGATTTCTTCGTTAAGACCTACGCTAAGAGCAGCCCTAACACTAACCCCCATGTAGAGCATTTGCCTCTTCCCAAAAGAGGCAAAAAGAGGTGCGGAAAAAAATATAAGAAATGCATACCGTATATGACACAAGATAACACACCCCCTGGACCGATTTTCAAAGCTCGATTACTCCACGACGAAGAGGATGCATAAACGAAACAATACGTTTTCGAACAGCTCTCGACGAGACGGTTCCAACGCCGCCGTTTTCGGCGCTGTGACTCTTCCTGCTGTTGAGAAATTGAGCTTTGAAAATCGGCCAAGGGGGTGTGTTATCTTGTGTCATATACGCCTGCGACTGACTCGTTGTCGGAACATTTCGGTTCGAATCGGAAGTGGTCTTATGGTCTTATGTAGGCCCTTCCCCCGCCGGCGACTTTTGTTTTTTTTTTTCGGCGATTCACGATTTTTTTTCGGCAAATACTACTTTGCTAGATTTTGGGATTAGCAACTGACACGAGTTTAATGTGAAGAAAAACAAACAAACAAACAAAAAACTGATGGAAAAAAAAACTTTTTCGGCGACATTCGGCGATTCAGCATGTTTTTTCGGTGAGTCCTGTTTCATTTTCGGCGATTTTCGGCGATTTTCTTTTTTTCTTCGGCTGCTACCTATGCCATTTTTAGCTTCAGCGACTTCATCGAAGCGACTTCTAGTACACACAAACGAGCGGGTCGCGAGGCTGTCGACTGTTGGACTGCTGCAGAGGTCACCTGCCGGCGATTAGCGAACGAAGTAGTTTGCCCTTTTATTTCTTTGCTAGAGACTGCATAACAGCATGCAATATAGTCCTAACCTGCACTCAACATCGAAAAATTTCTGAAATAATAGGATAGGATGACGCGCGACTTGGGGGCAAAAAAATCTTTTACTCCTACGACCTACGACACAATAAAAATATCAGCATTAAATTTACAAATTACAGGTCTTGAGTCGCTGTCTTCATCGCTGTCATCGCTTTCTTTCGTCGCTACCGCCGCCGCCGTTGTTGGCATCAATCAGCGGCGCTTTCCTTCTTCTTCTCTTCTGAGCTACTTTGGACCCTGCCCCTGTTTTACTTGATTTGAGCAGTGCGGAAGCGCAAATACGGTCGCTGTACACGCTCTCTTCTTGTCGTTCATTAAAGTAACACCGCAGGATGGAAAACACTCGTTCCATGAACGCAGAGGATGGTTGCAAAAGCGGCATCGATTTTGAAGTTTCGGCGGAAGTGGTGCCACCAACGCTGTGTTGGCGTGCAGAGGCCATGCTGCTAGAAGAAGCTGAACCAGCAGAAGAGACCCGCGGCGAAGCTCTTGCACCGAAAGCAGGTGGTGCGGCTCTGCCGCTGCCACCGCTGCCGCTGCCGCTGTCGCCGCTGGTGGCAGCCGCGGCACTTTTGTCTTTTGTTTGGCGGACAAATTGCACCTCATTGTCCGAATCCCCTTCGCTTTCACTGCTACTATCCCACCTACTATTAGAGTAGGCTTCCATACCGCTAAGAGGCGACGACATAGCACCGCCGTTCAGCCGTGTGTGAAGCTGTGCAGCTGTATAGAGCTACAAAGGCTATGACATATAATAACAAGCAGAGCTACGAAGGAGGTACAGGGGGCATCGTGAATTTAATCGGCGACAATCGGCGACATCTTTTTTCGATTCGGCGGAGCCCCCTTCGGAATCGGCGATTTTTTTTTTTTTTCGGCGATTTTTTTTTCAGCTGTTCTTCGGTGACTTTTTTCAGAAATCGGTGTTTTCGGCGATCGCCGGCGGGGGAAGGGCCTAGTCTTATGGGTGGAGCACCACATGGAAATATCGCTGTGTGCCGCTCGGGAAATCGTGGAAATACAGAGCCTTTTCTGATGCTATGGATTCATTGCTATGTACATCTATTTATCTTACACTCTTTGTATATGAAGATAGATTCGTTGGGTCTTGAGAAAATAAATTATCACTCAGGTTTCGTCCGCCGCCGCCATTCATGGCGTCATATACTACATAGCAGTGAGAGAGCCGCGAATTTCAAAAATAAACGAGTGGTCACAAATGTGGTCGGGAGTGTGCGTGCGTGGGGTGCCGTTCGCTAAACTTCCTCACTCCTGCTTGGGTGATGGATGGTTGATGGCATCATGATGGGTGCGCAAGTTGGTGTGCAATTTGCTGGCGAATTAGAAGCAGCAGCTGAGCGCCAATCTACAGGATCTCGGCAAAAAGCAACAGGAACGTTGTTCGAGAGGACTTGTGCCACACACCAGGGAGAAATTGGCGAGGTTGGAATGCTGGTGGCTTGGGGCTATACCGGTATAGGGAGGGAGGAAGGGGTTTGGTGTGAATGTTTTAGCATAGAAGGCACACATAGTGGGCACACATCTTGTTTCTATCCGTTCGATCCTCAAAAAAGCGGAGGAAAGGACAAAAACAGCCAATCGGAAGCAGCTTGTCCGACGCTGTGACAACCACACGGACGGGTGATCGTGCGCCCCGCGCCGTATCGAATCCTTCGCCGCTGCTGTACCAAGTAACAAGCGATCGCTCTAGTTCTCCATGACCAATCTACATCCCGAATGTCTTCGGGCGATGCCATCTATGCGTGCATATCTGCTGCACACCAGATTCTCACCATGACACAGCTGAGACGTGGAGTACGACATCCGTGTTCTGTATTGAGTCGCAGAGGGCTCCAATCGCCACGCAGCTGCACGCCGAGGCACGGGATGCCCAACAAAGTGCTACGGCTGCTGCTGCGAGATATTTCAAGCCCATGGTATCGTTGCTGGTTGATGTTGCTTGGGCTGTGCGACGCTCTTTTTCGGCCGGAGTGCATTTTATCGGAGAGAGAGCGGCGCAATTCGCCACTCAAACGGAGATGTCGGTTTCACTGACATTGATCAGGCTTTTTTTATCTCTTCCTGCTGTCCCCGTTCCCTGTTCCGTTTGACTTGGAGAGAGTGTTGCGCAAGGTCAAATCGTATATGGGTACACATCTAGAGTTGTACGTAGTGGCGGGGACCTGCGCGTGGTAAATTCGATATGACGATGTGTGAGGTTGGTGCATGGAGGATTGACAGAACTTGTGCAACACACGGAGAGCGCGGAAAAAATGGTCTCTTTCTTGTGTCCGTCCGGGGGATGCAGTTGTTGACGGTTGAAAACTCCGAGATCCAAAGCCGGAGCATAATCAGAGCACCCCCCAACTCTATCCCGACTATGGACAAAAGCACGCAAATATGAATGGCCCCGCCCTCTGTTTTTGATGTTGCTCGCATGTATACGTATCAAAAGGTCTGACTTCACAACAAACGGTCCTCTTGCCCCTCTGCCCAAGAGACTATGCATACAGGAACGTCCCTCATCAGAGATAGGTGCTAAAGCTGTATCGAGCGCAAGATTCTGTTGGTGTGCAGCGCCTGGCGCCAAAGGTGCTACGCAGGGTATCACACGAGTATCTTTGTCACTTTGCTTTCATTGCCGGGTATCCGACCGGGGTTTCAGAGACTCTGTCGTGTCAAAACAATGTCCAACACCTTTCCAATTTCCGCAGAAACATACCACTTGTGGCAGTAGTAAAGAAAGCAGAGTGATGCTTGAGCAACGAATAATTTACAATGCGTCCGTCAATATCTCCCCTCGCAAGACAGCCGATGTAGAAAATTCGAAGTAAAAACCGTTATTCGACATAGAGATTCGGACTGGGTACAAACGCTGGAACCATGTCGGGGAAACGCTAAATCTTGTACTGTAAGATCTATCTACTATGCATACGTAACAATGATCACTTGTCTCTTTCGCTTCTCCCGTGTTGTAAGTCTCGAGAGAACACGAAGAGGTAGTGCAATCGTGAGATACCGTTCCCCCCACCCTACAATTTGGAATTTCGTGCTTTGATCATTTTCGGATCCACCTCGCCGCGCTGAAAGCGCTCAGCGTCGGGGGAGGGATACCCTAGGCGAGGTCCGTCTGCCCCAGGAAGAGGTCTCACCAAATCCAAGATATACTAAATGATCTGCAATGAGAGCGATAACATAATAGAAGTGCACCAACTACGCCGGCGAAGCAAATGAAACAGAGGCACCACCTGCCACCACATACGGAAGTTGCATCTTCCGTCCACGTTACAGCTAACCTCTACACCAACAAGAATCTAGAATCAGGGAGAGACCAAATCTCCTCCTTGTGTGCATCCTACCGGCTCCCTTTCGGTGGGCACTGTAACAGTTTCTGGCGGGCGCAGCAGACAGATTATGGCGCACCTCCAAACCACTCCGACGGCGAGCGAGAGCGTCAGGCCCAATACTCCCAAACCTTTCAGCGCAAGCGCGCGCAGGACAGATCCAACATCGCTATCCCACACCAGCACCACCCTTCTCTCTGTTCCGTCTACGCTCGTTGTCTCCAAAAGTGCCGGAGCTCTCGCTCTCCATCCGTGGGGTCGAGATTTGATTCAAAATATTTACTTGTGCCACGTTTTAAGTTCGTCGATCTACAATACCTCGTGCAGGCGCCGCCTGTGGGGAAAGCCTTATAGCCACCTGACAGGTTTCTCCTAGGTGGTGAATCAATTCAAGTCGCCGATTCTTTGGAGGGTTCCTCTTCCGCCTTCGCCTCTCCCTTCTTTCGGGTTCGATCCGCTGGTGGGATCAAGCAAGCCCCTATTCTGTGGAGGGTTCGCCTCCCTCTCCTTGCCCTCGCCCTCCGCTCGTCCATTGGCAGGGACTCGATGCGCGTCGAGTGCAGCAGGAGAAGCCCCTCCGCGAAAGGGAAGTGGACATCCTGTGAAAAAACACCCGCGCGCATTTCAATCGTCATGTACCGATGATGGGAATATTAGCATACACCGAAGAAACGCGAGGGGCAGGTGGGGGGCGGCAGGAACAAGACAACTTGGGCGTACGGAAATTGGGCTGGTAGCCCTCCCTGCAGGAACAAGACAACTTGGGCATACGGAAATTGGGCTGGTATCCCTCCCTGCGTATTGCTCCCTTCGGACCATGCGACAGCGCCGAGGCAACACTTTTTTATTCCACAGAAGACAATTGGAACGCATATTTGTGAACACTACGCAGTGATTTGACCCTGACAGGGGCAAAATTGTCCTACGGAAAGCTCCTCCTCGTAAGAGGCTTTCCTTTGCATACTGCTACGTCGCACATTGACATTCGAAGTGGCGACATCCTAAAAGACGGAGGAGTGGCGGTTGAGCTGCGGAATAATACACGAAAGAGAGAGGCCTCTACTGCTACTGTAGTTTCAAATATCAACATTAACCCCCAAAGCAAGCTAACTTCCTCCACAAACCACGATTATAACAACATCAACATTAACGACCATGTCTTTGTCCACACACAACAGATACTCGTCCTACATACCTCTTCGCTGATTTCAAGACCTAAAACTAGCGCTTTCTCGGCGACCTTGTCCATGCCATGTAGCATGCTCCAGCGAGCGCGGCCGAGCTGGTGGAGCGGAGACATCAAGTCGAACATCTGCAAAGAGAATGGCGGACCGAGAGTTTTCACATAAGTTCCTGCTTTGGTTTGTCCACAAAATATCTAGGAAAACCGAAGAAGGTGCACCACTGCATAGATTCGGACATCGGCAACCCAGTGTCAAAACCACCCCTACTGGTCCCCTTCTCTCTCCGTTTTCCTGCCACACCTGCTCCCCTCATTGGCCAACCGTCCTCTCCGCCCCCCAATGCCAAAAATTCAAGTGCAGTCAAAGGACAAAGGGGTGTTCCGAGGTTTCCATGAGGAGGGCCCTTAGCAACGGCCCCAGCCCGAAGAGAGCCTTCCAGGATTTAAAAGGGATGCGAATTTCTACCCAGGCCGTACCGAATGTGGATCGTGCCTCTCTAGTCACTCTTGACTCGTGTGTACCTGAGCAAATCGTCCGAGGGTGCGAATGAGAAGCCTTGCCGCTGCGATAACTCTTCGATAGCTGTCAGGCCCGGGAGGAAGCATGTCCTGCTCCAAGGCGTGAGCGAAAAACAGGTTTCGGTTGGAAATGTACAATTATACATGCAGCGCGCGAAAATCATCATCGCAAGGGGTTCCCACCAGAAACGTATCCCCCACAATAGTGACAAGGGATGGGACGAACCCGAAGAGCGAAGTCCCAGGCGAGCCCACAAAAATGACAAGGGATGGGACGAACCCGAAGAGCGAAGGCCCAGGTGAGCTGGCGGAACCAAGCCACCAATCTCAACGAGTGAATGACGCACGGTGTTGTTGTACCTGCTCCAAGATCGTGAAACATGCGTCCGTGGCTAAGTGCAAGAACAGGCCGGAGCTGAAGCGCAGAGCACCTGCCCGGGACAGGCGGAGAGATGCTCGGCACACGCCCTTCAGCGCTGCTTTTCCGTCGCCCTGGATGCAGTGGGGGGTGGGATTCAAAGATCAATCGTTGTCGAGGGGGGTCGTAAGACCGTGGTGTAACCACCCACGGGGTGGTCGCCTTTGGAAGTTGAGAGACCAGCAGATCATCGAAGTGTCAAGCTGAACTCGTGTTGCTCAACCGTTGCTCGGACTACGGCGGCACAGCAACGCTTGGTACAATCAGGTACAAGACTTGGTTAGGGAAAAGCAAGACACACATAGAGAGAGTCTTATCCAGTCAACACAGCGGAGGACCAAGGGTACACGCCTGAGATCCGCCTATGCCTTACCCGCGATGCCGCCAGATAGGCGCCGAGGGTTTCCATGACCACCAGGGAGGCGTGGCTCGTGCCCTCCGTGGCGGCGGCCGTCCTGCCCCTCCTGCCCCTTCGACGGGCCCAGTCCTCCTCTACAATAGACCTCATCTTCGCCAGGCCGGCGGAAGCCTCCGCCATGTTTCCCGTGATGGCGTGCACCAAGGCCGCTCCGTGCAGCGAGGCCTTTTTCCCGCGGGAGAAACAGGCAGCGGAGAAGTTGGATACCCTTGTAGGGGCAGCTACACAGCAGTCGTGACGGAAACGCTCTCTTCTATTCCGTTCTGAAATCCAGATCTGTCGACTACGAAAACCTTTCTTCTGCAACTAACTCGATGGACTCGAGAACTATCTAGTTGCGGTTGGTTCTGCGTTCGGCCAGTTTTTCGTGGCGAAAGGACAAACAAAAAGCGTGCCGTGTTTGTACCTGGGAAAGATAGTCGTCGTTGTGGGAGATGGCCGTATCTCGGACCTCATTGAACATGGACAAGGCCTCCGGCGTGTCTCCGGAGCACAGCTTTGCGTAAGCCGATCCCACCACGACCTCCCCACATCGAGAGTAGTCACCGGCCTAGACATGTTTTTTGTTTCAGTTGGTGAACAGCACGCGTGGTGCCGTTAGAAGATCGTTCGTTTCTGCGTAGTATGTTATCAATGTAGATAGACCGAACGACGGAACTAAGCGTTCAGTTCGTTTGATACCGCATGGCGATAGATGATTGATAAAATGCGGCGGAATCCAGGCTCCAAGATTGCTGCACGTCGTCCAACATTGCGCCCGTGGGATAAGATTGTCGAAAGTGAACTCGACGGAACGATACCAGCCCAGCAACAAAGAACGAACGAAGTATTAAAAACCCGAAATGTTACTCTACCCGCTCAATGTCCGGCTCGTCACCCGTGGTCTTGATCTAGATCACGAGTACAAGTAAGATGGTCGTCGGCTCTCTCTGTGCACTACAGACTATTCGCGGAGTTATCGTCATACAGTGGAAGTCGACAAGATTGAGAGAGAAGCGCGGTGTACCATGTACCATTAAACAAGCATAGAGCCACGGACATGCAATGTTGAAATATCACGCGGAAGGTTTCACTCACCAGCACTGCATGAGAGATGACCCCTGTAGACCCGGCCAACGTCTACGAAGTAATCTCCCTCTCACGTTTGTTCCGATGGAACCGAGAGGTTCAGTCTACAAGGTTTCCGCAAGTCACTCCAACAACACTCTCTCTGCCCCACCTCGAGGGTATCTTTGTCCTACAATGGGAATCAAAACAACTGTTGTCAAGCTACCCCTGCCTTCTAAACTAAACCAGCTTTCCTCCAAATAGAAACTGATTTCTACACAACTTCACAATTTTGCACTGGATGTGCCTGTTCACTCCTTGTTGTTCTCACCGGCGCAAACATTTCGAAAGCTTCAGCGAAGTGCTCCTCCGCCTCCGTGACTAGTCCCTCCCCAGCGTTGTACGTGCCCGAAGCAATAAGAGCGATGCCCTTTGTGTTGTGACGAGCGCATGTCGCGGAGGGGCGTGGCCCCCGGAGAGGGCAAAAATTATTCAAGTGCATACCATACCATGGGCCAGCGATTGAAGCAGTTTTCCACAGCCGAATGAACGAAGTTACGCGATATTTGCCAGCACTGAAACGTAGACGATGCACGGAGGAAACACGTTTCAGGCGAAGGGCGGCACACGCTAATGCTACAAGCATAGGTTTGGTGTGAGAAGCTACGTAACAATCTTGGTGGCTGGCTTAAAGAGCGCTTTGTTCTTGTGTGGCTCGAAAGCGCCACGAGAAAATACAATAATTTTCGGTGGAGTTGGTCCACCAACAAGTGCAAGAACTTACTTCCCTCCGCTTGACGCGAAACCTGTCCAACAACGGCCAACAGTGACCTCCAGCGGCTACCGCCCGGACGAAACGTCTCCCCCGCGACAAGAGGCGTTTTTCTCTTACAATTTTGTTTCCTCACCCTCGTGATTGGGTCGCCAATGTCGATGGACAGAGCAAGGGCGCGATCCAGCAGGGACTCGGTCTTGTCGTGGTGTCCTTTTGCCAGCTCCTGAGAATGGATTGGGGTTGGGCGAGCGTTGGGGCAGCATTTGGCAGGTTTCAGCTTCAGCCACAAGGTGAGCAAACGCGAAAGCACCATCTCTGTTGGAACGAAGGGTCAGCACGGGCCCTTGCCGGGCGGTTTGCATGACCGCACGCACATGAACAGAACGAAGCGAAAAACCTAACATTGCGGGAGAATATTTGCATAACGAAACCGAGGCGAACCGCCTACGGCTGGTCCCAACTGGAGTTGAGGGGAGTTGTTTCCTGTAAGAGTGTGACCACTTTTCAACATTGATGCCCTCTCCGTTTCAGCAACCAAAAAGTTCCACAAAGGCGGCCATGAAGTACCAATCGAAACACCACCAACTACTGTACATGCAGCCATACCTCGTGAGCGAGGTTGAGAAGGAGCCGTATGCCTTCTTGCGTCTTGTCCACAAAGTCCACCTTGCGTGTACTCACTTTGACGAGGCGGTTGATGAAGGAAAGGTTTCCGCCCATTCCCGTCTACCAGACAAAAACAACACGAACGTGCCCGCAATCAGGGATAGGGCTACCTTGGTCGACGTACGTCTGCCACGAACGCGAAGGTCTTTAGACTTGGGCTTGGCACATCGAAGGCAGCCGTGATTGGCACACCCATTGCTTTGAGGAGAACACTCTCTTGTCGCTTTTCGAGATATTCTTGCTGTCGATGTTCCAATGCTTCCTACATGGTATCTCGAAAACCCTCGAAGCACCTAGGCTGGGCAGCACAAAGATGTTCACATGCACACTGGCTCGGATCTGGGGCTATGGTATGACGTGCATTTCGTGTGAATGTATTCCGATTGGTCCTTCTTTGTGGTGGAGGCGGGACAACCTTGGAAATTTTCTCGACATTCCACAACAAACCATTCGTCGTTGCTGAAATTGCAGCCTGGACAACGTGTTTGCCCAAAATGAGTCACCAGGCGATATAAGGAGGCAGCGTTGCGGCTGCTCGACTGCCCAGCGAAATATTCACGTAAGCCAGGTTAGGTGATCGTTCGGAGAAGGTTCAGGGTTGGAATCAGGGCTTACGATCCCGTGGTGATGAGGGTAGGGTTAAGATACCTCATGTTTGCTCGGCCGGAGTTCGGGTCCCTGCGATTCATATCACGTGCTTGTACGAAGAAAAAGGCAGAAGCAAGGATTCCACCTTTATCCGTCTTCCAAATAGGACAGAAAGCTCGGGTTTTCATCAGTACCGCTGAGGAGCTAGAGCCTATTTTCCTTCGTGCCGGTTGCTCTACAGCTGGGCACGGTATCAACCGGTCTGACGTAGGCGTGCATCATTTCTTGGTCGCACCTTGCTCAAGGCTGAAGCCCGAGGTCAATTCCCGTTAACTGATTGAGTTGTTGACCCGATACGTCATCCTGCTTGCCATCGTATGCTGCGCCCTACCAAACAAGAAAAAAACCCTGCGTAGCCTCACCTAACAATCGGACCACCTGCCGATAACCCATTCCCCCACCCAGTCACGGTGTACTTGACTTACCTTGATGCTAATGTCGGCGATGGCGCCGTACAGCTTGGCCGCGAACAGCGTGTCGTCGCTGTCTCTAGCAGGTCCCTGCATCAAGAAGAACTCCTTGGCGAGGCAGGCGGCCCTGTCGAAAGGAAGTGCTTGGGATGGCACGGCCGGGAAGCCAAGATAGACCAGTGCCTCCTGAAACACCGACATGTACCAAGAACGTATGCGCACGTGGTAGACGAGTGCGAGTTTCGCCGGCGTTTTGCGTGGGGGACAGCGACTTGATGTAGCAGAGTCGGGGGTAACCTTGTGTGCTGTGTCTAAATTTCGACGTTATGGTGGACGAAGCGCTTGTGTGACGCGTCTGCGTCAACGTGGACTGCAAGAAATTGATAACATACTGCGGCAGAAGCAGCAGACCTGCATGTGGTTGTGGGCGGGCAGTAGCCGTCCAAGGTGCAGGTGCGCCATTCCTATCGCACCGATCCATCTCGCCACCAAGGTCGGAGAGAAAAGAGGATCCGAAAACTCTAGCCACGGCAAGAAGTCGGCCGCCCACAACCACTCTTGATCCTGATGCAATAGTGGGTACAATTTGGGATAGGGAAAGGGTTCCGATTTAGGTTGTGGTCGGAGCAACGCCGTATCGACGCCGCAGAGAGAGGTGCCACTAACAAGACTGGGCAAGAATGGGTGATAGCTAAACCTATTACGTCGCCTCGTAAAAGCAGCGGGTAGGGTTTCGTTTCGCGTCCATTCGCCACTACCCATGTTTCTCTCTCCTCGTAAGGCCCTTTTGAGTTTCTTCCCTGTTGAGTTTCTTTGGCGTGGTCTAAAGCTGACTCGTAGGAAACGATGGCCACGAAATTGCGCAGATCACGCAACGCAGACTCTTGCTTCTTCACACGCATGTAGCCCCAGGATCGTACCTTGGCTACTAGCATTTCTCGCTGGCGCTTGGTGAGGTTGCCCACCGAACACCCCAGCCTAGCCGCTGTCCTAGCCGCGTGTAGTCGCTCGGCAGCCTCTGCCTCCTTTCCCGTCAGAGGAGCCGCAACCTGTTTTTGAGACGATCGCGGCGCTCTCGGAACCAGCTTGCCGTGCCAAGGATAACTGATGGCGTAGCAGGTACAAGTCATGTCTTATTTGCTGGAGTTGGTTGAACAGCCTCGAAACCCATTGCGGCGAAAGTCCGTACACTTGACCAAACGCGTGTGCTTGATACTGTAGAAATGGGGTGCGATGGGTCTGGCGTGCCCGATTTCGACGCCCATCGAGGGCATCACCAAGAGGTCAGTCGATCGATATTTCCAAGAGGCAGCCATCGTAGAGACCTCTTGAACGATATTTTCCCTCCTTCGTGCCCTTCGTTCACTCTTCAAAACGTACCTTACACGTACCAACTGCTCGTGGGAACTCCCGGTTGTTAGTTGTTTCGTCGCGGTCTGATTTCGTTTGCAAAGGGAGACCGAAGACAAAAGCAGCGGTTCCACAACTCTCCTGATTCCTTTGGTTGTATTTCAAGAAGGTACTGGGCTCAAAATAGATCATCGATGAACGAGACGCGCGCAGGCGTTTGATTTTCACCAAGCTCGTCGAATTATCGCGAGTCGCGAGCCGACATAAGTCTACGACCTCCGTCACATACCGGCACCACCATGGACGAGAAGCGCCGACGTCGACGCGATAGCCCGGTTGCTCCCAAACCATCAGTGAACCAACCGCAGAGGCCCGACGCGTGCCCCTCGCCGGTTGCTTCCCCTGTCCTCCCTGCTGCCATGCCTGCTCGTTGTTGTTAGGGTTGGCATTGTCGTTGGTGCTACTAGCTCATGTTGCTACGATTCGCGTTGCGACTTACTTCTCTCCTGCTCATGAGCACTCGTTTGGTTCTTGACCGGCGACTATTGCGGAGCCCGAAACGCAAGCTGAGCTTCATCCCTCATTCCTGAGACGGATTCAGTCTCAAGAATTTCTTGGCGATCGCCTGTTGAGGATCTGTCCGGTTAGGCCAGAACGGTTGGTCGGCAGAGAGGCCGCCGCGCGGTGCGCACGTTTCCCATGGGCTGCAGCAAAAGTCGTTTACTCGGAAGAGATGACGCGAAAGCACCAACGCTGGAAAGTGGTTTCGTTTTCACCTTATTGTGAGACGTGTGCATTTTGTCATTCCGGCGACACTTGGTGTCATTGTACCAACCTGCTGCGTCATCTTGACCGCTACTTTTCCTGTGAATCGTCACGTCTGTTTTTTGACGCTGCTCGACGGTGTCTCGATCGCTGCCGGCAGGGTCACTTTTCGGAACGGACCCAGCGGTGGCCGCTGGCCGCGGAGGTGGCGGCGGTAATTTCGAGGCTGCTGTGTCTTGCTTGTTGAGAGACGGTTGGGTGGCCTCCAGAAACGGCTCGAGGGAGATGACTGTGGCCGTCGCCATGTCCTTCCCAAACGCAATGGCCAGCAGCGCCAGCATGTGTTGAATAACCTATAACGGAGGCGAGCGCGGGGGGGGGGCGCGTTCAGATCGGGCTTCACACAACTTCGGTCAAAGCAATGAATTTGTAAACTTAAAATTCGCGAACGAAGGTCCTAAACTCTCTCAGATTCACTACCTCACATGTCTTCCGTCCATGGTGAACGTTTTACTTGACAGGAGCCGTCTTTGTTCTACTTGGTTGTTCTTCCAGAGATAGGCAGGTCTTGCGTGAGTCGATGATCGAAGAAGGCAGTGGTCCGCACTCAAGCAAGGGTCAATGTTGAATTGAATGACAGAAGGTGTGAATGATTTCCTTTCGGGGCAACCCGCTTCGCAGCTCCAGTCCCAGCCCCTATCATCACCACAAGCAGCGGCAACGACAACGACTCACCACCTCATGCTCAGAGACCTCATGCGCTTTATTCGCCGCCATTAAATGGCACTCCACCTGAACATCAAGAAAGTCAGTCATGAGCGAAATATGATCATCCTTCTGCAAACCCGTTCCAGGACAACGATTATCCATATCGGTCCCAGAGAAGCATACGGCAGGGATACAACCGCACAAGCAGTTGACCACAATTGGCGTGCATGAGAAATGGTCGAATACGTTAGTCCGCCGGTTATCCGCTGAAAGATGCCGTCCACTAATTGTCTCAGACAGTTGTTTGATCAACCGCTTGGTTTTGGAAGCAGATTTGAAAATGTTCACAATTTAGCGCGATGTCCAGTCCTATCAGTTGTGCTTGTGTACAAGGCATGCGCCAGCCGACAAGAAAATCACAAGCAGCAGCGTCCTAGCTCATTGATCGATCGGCTCAGATGGGCGTAGCCATTGCACCTCCTCTTCTACGGTTGACAAAGGATGCGTGATCCGACGCTTCGTTTCAGCAACATTAAATTGGGATGTCTGTTGCCTCTCGGCTTCGTCGCAGCACTACATTCCCTATACTAGATAAGTTGACGGGAGTGGTTTTGACGACGGCAACAACTTGTTCGGGGCGCAGACGAAACCGGGGTTACAGCACCATCACCAAAAATCCTCCCCACCTTCTTGGGGGTGTTGCTGGATCTCATCCAGTGGTGCATGATGACGCTCTGGTAGTTGGCGTTCCCCTTGTTGTGCTTCTCGTGCCACTGCGCACACACCTCGTGGAGGCTCTCCTTCTGGTCCGTGAGCATCATTGTGTACACCGTCTGACAGAAGGACACGGAATTCGGCATCGAACAATAAATATCACGAGCAAACAGCAGTGTGACAATGATGCACAGTCACAAGTGTTCTTTTCGCTGATTCGTTCTTCAGATTGACGGAGGGAGGAGAAGATTGTCACAACGAACCCGAACCCGGGATGTGGAAGAAGTCGAACACTCCGTCAGGTCCTCCGCCCAAGCTGTTCTCGAGCGAAGGTCACGCAATCAATTTCGAATAGGTTTTGACCTTTGTTCTTGACTTATACCGACAAGAAGAGTTATAAAGCGCGAATCGTTACAACTGTTTGCCCTTTCTTGAGCGGCCTTTACCCTTCCGTCACCGTACTTCCCAGACCGAAGTCGCGCACTAAACCTCTGAACTTTTCTGCCGCCATATCAACGATGATCTCAAGGTAAGGGTCGAAGGCTATACATTGCTGGCCTAGTATTGGTTTATTGTTGACGGAACTGTGGTGTGGTAACTACCGCACCATAGTCAATCTCTCGTGTTGCTCAACTGTTTCCTGCCAACCCTCCACCATGTACAACGTTTTGAAATGTCGCTTTTCTGTGTATTCGCCGGCCGGCGGTAACCGTACCTCTTGGACCGAGGTGTGCACGAAGCTGAAGTGCTCCGTCCGTCCAACCACCGACCTCGAGATGAAGTTGGCCTCGATCAGCTTAAGGAGGGCTTCGTGCAGGTTCTCGGTCCTGTACCGGCTGTTGTTCGGCAGCATGTGCAGCAGCAGGTCCTTGCTGAACGTCGCCCCGATGACTGTTTTTTCAGGCAAGCAGAAGCTCTCGTTTTAGTCCGATGTAAGATGGATCAAGGCCACGAAATTCCTGCGAGTCTTTTCTATGTCGGCGAATCGTAGTGCTGCCCTTGGAAAGGCTAACCACTACTAGTACACCTCTTTGCATCGGATTCCGAACATGAAAAAACGAATTTCACCAAAACAGGAAGGGAATCGTCCGACAGCGGTCCGACGACGCACCTGTGCCGGCCTTTAGAACAGTCTGCTCCGGCGGCTCGAGCGCATCGAAGCGGCTCACGATTAGCGCATGAAAAAAGCCAACGGGGAGGTCCACCAGCGGGGTGACTGCACCACTCGTCACCAAATTGTCCCGCAACGTCTTTGTGGCGAAACGAACGCACGTCATGAACAGTCAGTGGGGAAGCGTTGCGGAGAGGTCAGCGATGCCATCGACCCCCTCCCTACCGCACCCGAAATGTTGCAGAGTCTGTTCGGATGTAAATATCTGTTTTTTGTGTTGGTACTGCCTGCCTATCAACCGGGGGGTTGAACTTTCTTTAAAAGGAGTATGAGCCGTACGTGACTACCTTGTCGCAGAAGATGATCAACGAGCGGATGCAATCAAAGCGTTTTTAAAACGCTCTCGACAAAACCTTACCAACACCACCCTTTTGTGTTGTAACAATCGACCCTTAAGGGGGTAGGCAAGAATGCTATGCAACATACGCTATTTTATAGATACAACAATTGTGCGGAACTGAGTGTACAGAGGATATGACAGTAGTGTCTTGAGGCAGGGAAAACACAATATACAGATCAACCATTAACTTCGGCCACAATTGTGGAAACAAGGATCTAAGTATCTTCCTAGGGTAATGATGCACATGCGACAGGCAAAGATCGTCGGACTACATGAACAATGTTCTACCGTCCGAACACATTTGCCAGGAAAGATTCACAGAATACCGTGACTATTCTTGTGACTCTCGGAGATGGGGAGATGACGGCGAAAGCGTTCCACACTCCTCACTCTCACACCTTCCACCTTTCTTGAACCAGCTAAACCGAGACTATCGGCGACGTTTGGCACTTCCTCGCCATATTGCAAGCAAAGCGATTTTACCTCCGTTGGTGAACGGTTTTTCACCACTTCGGGGACCCTTGCTCGTTACAGAGAAAGGGTATTCTCATGGGCGTCGACGAAGAGATCACTCCGTGCAACGTTCAAACGGGAGGCGCGACTTTCACGGTGGCCGCTAGTGCTCAACGAAGGGCCCTTTAGCCTCTTCCCGGCACGAATCACAAACGGATGCCAGGGGCAGTCGGAAAGCAACAACGAGACGTTTCATCAGAGATACATGTCCAGGCTCACGATGGCTATGTTGCGCACGAACAGGGGGTTCCCTCCCCCGCTTTTCTCGTGGAGGACTATGTCCGACCCCTCGGGCAACAGGTCGGCCTCCGGGTGGGCATCGATCACGGCCTCCCCGATGACGTGGCGCGCCAGCACGAGGCAATCCGAGGGTGACAGCGGGGACATCTCTATCGTCGTTCCGATCTCCCGAAATGTGGTGAAATCCTGGAGAGATTGTTGCGAAGAAGAGGGGGGCGTAATTGAGTATGGCTTGGAAAGGTAGCTGGGTTGAAGGTTGACATGATCGGTCTGGAGATTGGCAGTGTTGTGGGCTGAAAACAGCTTGTCTGAGAGGCGGGTTTCGTCTTGGTCTATTATCAGAATCTAGACTGGGACATCGTAACTACAGAAAATGGTGCTGCTCTCCGAATGGTTTGATATCGTCTTGCAGATCCGGTTCGGTCGGGTCAGGTAGGCTCGGGTTGGTGTGTTGTGTGGTGCCGCGTGCAGATGCTTGTTTTTGAGGTCGAAGTGAATCGCATCCGTAGGGTGGTACGGAGCAGCACGCTCCACTCTCATACGCCATATGTATTGTAGTCCACCTGCACTTTTGTGTCTGTTTTTGCTTCACTACTGCTTGATATGTGAAGATCCGTTCAACGTTTGAGTTCTTCACATTCCTGACTCTGGTATCCGGGTGGTTTATTCCCGACTTTCAGCAGATACATGTTTGTTTTTTTTCTTACGTGTGGAACCGTCTCGAAGTACTCCTCGAAGGGTCGGGCAGAGATGATGATCATCAGCCTCAGTCCCGCTCTCGCCACCTGTATTATTTTTCCGATATGCCGCAATCGGCGGGAGTAGTCAAGGACGTTGCGTTGTAGGTAGATGTAAGGCTCTCCGATACAAGTTGTACTTCGTATGCATACACACCTATGACAAAGCAACCGTATCATCCACGCTGCACTTCGCAAACTTTCTTATGTTCTCCTTTGTGAGAAGCTTCAGTGTTTGGCGGTTTACACCGTGTGGTACCTCATCGGCAAAGGCTGAATGACCTTCGGCGTGCACGTCCTTCGATACGCCTTTCGAGGAGTACGTTCCTACCGAGCTGACCAACCCAAGCCCCAAGGATGGAACCGACGTCAAGTCAAACCTGTGCTCTGCCAGCGCAACTTCGTTCTGAGCGGGCCTTTCCGTTCTACACTTATATTTGTCGAGGAGCAATTCCTACAATAAACTACTATGTGGTTGGGTGGTTGACGTAGAGGCATCAACATGTACTGATTCTGTTCACTCTGACATTCCTCGAGGAGCAGTTTACGTGAGACATAGATAGGCGTCGATGACACCGCGGTTCACTACAACTGCCGCGTTCTGCCGCTTGCCTTGAGGAGGAGCTTCATGCTGAGTTGGTTCATCCACTGTGCGTCCTCGATGATGAGCAGCAGGCGCTTCCCCTCGTTGTCGATGACCGTACGAACCACCTCCACAACCAGCCGCTCGAGATTGCGGTGACGAACGTCTGGAGGAAACGCGGCCGTCATCCTGCGTACGACGGCAGCACAAAGCAAGAACCGGAGCATCATATCGGCGCATCTTCTTCCAGCGTAACAACACCGCTTTCCTCCTAACATCGCGTTGACGCGCGTGTGTGAAGGGAGCTCGGGTGTCGTGAAGCAGCAAGAATGGATCTTCGATCGCACACCGCGTCATTCGACAATGTCCTCCAACGACCCGCCGGCGACCATAACCAACAACCCAGGACAGGCGAGGCAAACACTTTACTTGCCTTCAAACGCGGTTAAAGAACACAACGATACTGTACCTAGTTTCTGAAAATCCGGTGAACATGAGCTCCTTGAGCAGCGGGGCAATCGGCACCATGTCCGGGCAGGACAGTCGCATCCACTCTACGATCTTCGCGGCCTCGCCTTCTGCCTTGACTGGGTCCCCCTTCGATTCCATCCCCTCCATCTCCATCTGGTGATGTTCAAAGCGGAACACATTTCTAGTTTCTATTGCTGTTGTTGTTGTTGTTATTGTTGTTGTTGTTGCAATTGCTCGTGTCGTTGTCGATGTTTATTGTTGTTATTGTTGTTGCTGTTTTTGTTTTCGGTTTTATCGGTGCTGGTGTTGTTCTTGGTTTTATCGTTACTGGTGTGTTGTTGTCTTTCGTTTTCTTTTGTTCGACACGAAGATGATAGCGTTTTTAGTTCAGGGCACCACTCCGGAACAAACCGATACTCCGAACTCCGTACAGCACCTCCACGGAAGCGATCCCCTTGAGATTTTCCGCGGTGAGCATCTGCGGCAAGACGGCGGCACTATGCGTGCTTGACTTCGATTTCGTGTCTATCTCGTCATCGCCTCTTCTCACGGTCTGCTCCTGTACGAATGCAGAATTTCTCCTGCGGTTGCAGTGCACAGTGTATTGTTCGGTGGGGTTGGGGGATGGGTGTTGGGTTGTCAGCATCAAATACCCTCGCAAACCCATGATGTATGTCGGGGTCGCGCGGTCCAGGCAGGCATTGCACCAAGCGTTAATCGCCTTTTCGCCAGAGCAAACGAGTCGAGGTGGTACAGAAGTTGATTTTTTTCCTCCCTGTAGTATTACGTGTGTGTCGTGTGTCCCTTCCCTAGAAAGTATTTTTGCTTCAGTGACGGCCTGCAAAGGACGCATAGGGATGCAGCCCGTTGTTACTTAACCACGCGAAATGTAACACTGAAAACGAACAAACATGCATGAAGACTCTGCAGAAGTACGTACAGCTTCCTACACGCCGACTAACTGTACGCTGTCCACTTGCCTTGGGAGAAACCTTCTGGAATGCCTCTCACCTTCTTGACTTATCTCTGTCCCACGAGAGACTGTAGCATAAACAAACTGCCACCCCGCTAACCACATTGTCATCTCTTGCTCCGAAGAAGTCTAGTTGAAGAGGCACCGTCCGGACGTCTCAAGATAACGCATGGTTCCAGACAAACACGCAGTGACAACTAGGCTGTCTGCAGCCCACTTGCCTTCCGACCGATCTTCTAGAAGCCTGATCCCTCCTTGATTTTTCACTGATTAGGGAGGCCGCCCCCCCCTTCGAGTTAACCTTCCTTTTCGAGCTTGTCCTTGGCCCGCTGGTGTCGTCGTCGGAACCGGTGCGCTGTGAGGCTGACCTACAAAATTCGATAACATGGTTTCCGAGTGTTAATTAGTGAGTGCAGAGCGGGGTATCATACATAGATATCGAAAAAAACACGTAGGGGGTTTCTCGCTGTGTGGGCCCACAAATGTGATACCCACATTTTCGATCAGCCTGAAAAACTTTTCGCACCTTCTCTTTGCGATCCTCGATGCCCCAGATGCCCAGTCTGGATCCCCCCGAAACCCAGCGACGACTTTCTGAGCAACGGCAACAGCGCCAAAACTTCCCCCGGCCATCATCTTGAGCTTGAAGGCTCGTGCCGGGGACTTCACCGTCGCAGCTTGGCCTTCCGAGTCGTTCCCCTTGCCGGCGTTCGCGACAGGGCTTCTCATCTTGATCTTGTCGTACCGAGGTCTCCTTTCGGCCGCCTCCTCCCGGCCGCTCTCATTCGCGGAGAACCTTGTCGTCCGTGGCGATTTCCCTTCGCTGAACTTTCTGTCGGTGATCTCGGAGGACACCGTCATCATCTCCTGCCAGCGATCTTTGTGCCGAGTAACCAACAGCGGGGCCCCTCTTCCCCTCCCGCCGGGTTGCTGATGTATGGACGACTCCGTCCTTTGCTTCAAGAGGCTCTTAGGCTTTGCCGTTTCTTTCCTCGTTGCCGACCCCGAGGGGGACCTTGCCACTGATCCCGCGGAATGTCCCGATCCCTTGGATACTACCGCAACGTTATCGTCCTTGTTGCCGTCGCCACACGAGATCGTCGGTCCCAACGTAGTTCTTCGGGGCATGAGTGCAACTTTCGCTGAAGCTCCTTCCTTTCCGCCTGGCGTTAACGCCGCCGCCGTTCCCGGCGACAACGACGAAGGCGACGTGCTCAGAGGAGGAAGATGGCCCACCGCTGTCCGGCTGCGAGCTGGAGAGAGAATGGTTTCGTTCTTCGTTCCTGCGACGTTGGAGGAGAAGGGGTTGTTGACCTGGCGCTCGTTGCAGTCTTTAGTACGTAGTGATGCATTCATCAATCAGCGACGGAGTCATGGCCGTGGTGGGGGGGAGATATTCAACCAATGCTTCTCGTGGGGGGTAGTTCGTTGAAGATGGGGCGCCTATGCTACAGTCGAGGCCGTTCCTGAAGCTACCGAAACGGTAAACAGAGAGACAGGCAGGGGTTATCGCCCACTGCACACTGGACTGCGCTTCTGTTATCACGGACCAACCACTTGGAAGCCGAGGCGACCAGTGTCCGACTAGTCGAAACGCCTCCTTGTCATAGTCTATGGTACGTATCGGTGCGGGCCTACAGACGTTTTTTCGATACAATTGTTTTTCCCTACCACAGTGCGGAGGGCTAAGCTGGCGAGCTTTCGCGCCCGATGTCACGGAAGCCTGGTCTTGTTTTTTCTCCGCCCACGCTGAAGGTGGCCCTTGAGTAGTGGCTGCACCAGCAGTACCCATTGCACCAGCAGTTGCTTCACAAGTAGCACCGTCGGCGTTCACAACAGACGCTGGTGACTCGTTGAGATGCTGCTGGTCGTCGTTGGTTGTGAAACTGACTCGCGCACACGCCCCGCCCGTTCCAGGCGAAGATACCTGCGGAAGAATCAACGGGGGAGGGCAAGGGATAAGGGGGGGGGGAAGCGTTCATTTTCTTGCCTCGCTCAAGCGTCCACGTCCCCATTGCTTCGAACTACGAAGTAGTTCCTTTCGGGGAGGGAGAAAGGGGGACAAGTGGAGCGGTGCTCAAGTGTCAGGCACGGAAGCAATCTTCGCATGATCAGCCCTCGCATCCATGTGCAAACAAAGCACTCCGGGGGGAACTTTGTCGGCTTTTTCACCGCCAGGCAATCGGCACAACAAGTGTGAACCGTCTCCGCGTGCGATATTCGGAAGGGCACAACCCGGCTGGCAGGCGTGCGAAGGGATCCGTGTTGCGTGGCTCTGCGAGAGGTGATGTTGGAATCGTGCGAAAATGTGGAAGTAGCGTATCCGCTGAGTCGGCAACCGGGACGTTGTGTCGGAAGCAGGGCGAGCTGATAAGTACACAATTGCATAAGCTACGCCTCTGTCATTCACACTGCTGTTGTGGTTGAGTTCTCGTGAAACCCAGGCTCATGATGTTGTTATTCATGTCACATGCCATCCGGACCCCGAAGCTCGACAGAGGTACACTTGGACTAGGAAAGAGTTAAACAAACGCCGGAAGTCTATTCCTAACCCTCACGGGGGAAGGGTACACCCGGTTCCTTCTTCCCATTCCTTCGACACTGTTCGACCTACCCCTGTGTCCAGCTTGAATATCTTGTCCAGTATGGAGTTCCAGATACAGTACGGGGTGTTCGCGTGTACGTTTCGGCAAACCGTGATTATCGCTGGGGCCGCCGCCCCCCCTCCTCGGCCGCCTGTATTGAGGATGTAAGGGTTGGGTACGGTGATATAATATAATGCAACACACGTCTGTTGAGTCAGACGAAAGGATGTGGCTGCATGTCTGATACACTCCAAAAGCAATAGAGCAACCGCAGTACTACGTGCAGCAGTGGAACCAGCAGGAACAGCGTCGACGTCAGCAGCAGCAGCGTCGACGTCAGCTCCAGCAGCGGCAGCGGCAGCGGCAGCACCACCAACACCAACAACGACAAAACGACCGAAAACACACACACCATCGCTCTTCCGCGTGCTGCTGCCACTCCCGTCGAGGCCCCTTTCCTTAGTTTCCTCTTGTTCCGTCAACGGTTGAGAAGTAGGGGCATTGTTCGTCCCGTCCCTCCAGATGCGCTGCAGCTGGGCAGACCTCACGAGGCGTGTCTTTCCCGATCCCGACTACAAAGGTGGCGACATTGAGAGAGGGCGGGGGGGGGGTGCCTTGAAGGATTGACCTCGTACGGTTCCTTGCATCGACTCCGCAGGGTTAACGGGCGGGGCGGGGAAGGTAGTCACTTCTTTGATCATTGGATCCCTTCCCACACGTCTCACGTTTTCTAGTTACAAGAGTTCGAGGGAGATCGTGAGAACTACAAACGGATTTCTTTCCTATCGCCCGTGCTCCGTAAGTACGTCTTCGTTGATCGTGTTTTTCTTCAGCGGGTGCGTGTGCTCGACCTACCTAACACTCAGCAAGAAGAAGAAAACTAATTACTTCGAGTGCATGTGCCTGCGTGCTGTGAAGCCCCATCGCAATCCAATACAACTCACACTATGTCGTGAAACCCGGACCTTTTCCATCTCCCTTCAACACCACCACAACGACAACAACAGCTCGTGTCGGTAGAAACCCGACATGCTTCATCGCAGCTTGGTAGCGGGGGCAAATTTTCAGCAACGCCAAGGGACCAAACGACCGGTCGTTTCTTCGGTGCCATCTCCCAACCCTGTTTTTACTCGCGTTACTGGCCAGCTTCCCCGTTGCGATCGTCTTCGCTCGCTCTTCTTTTGGACAGCGACTCAACGCCAATAGAAATTCCCTCGAAGAAAATGTCATTTTCAGTGTTTGTAATCTGTCTTTCGATTTAGATTCTGTTCTTCTTATCTTTCCTGTACTGTTTTATCTTTCCACGTTCGATCTCATATTCTGTGTTCAGTGTTTTCTTTCCGTTTGCTGCGTACTAACCTGTCCAAGAAGAATGACGGGCCTTGTTATCCCCGCGTTCTGCAACCGCCGCACGGAGTTTTCCAGTACCTCCAGCTCCGCAGTTACTCCAATCATCAGGTCGCTGTCTGTACCACCGGCATCGCTCACCCTCTGCTCCTCGCCGAGGTGACAGGTATCGCAGAACGATTTTTTATTCACAGGGGAGTTCGTACAAAGAAGCAAGCATGACAGCCATCAGCACAGCAGCAGCAAAACTCAACAGTAAGCTGACAAATATATTTCCCAACGGAAAATACACGCTCTTGGAAAAAACATGAAGATAGAACCGATGCATTCACCACCCATACCTTCCCGGGGTGGGAATGGACGAGTTTTCAGGTAAGGTATGCATGCGTTTTCGTAGGTGAATCATGTATTTGCCGAAATGAGGCGGCAGAAAGTCTTAACGCGGAACAAGGAGCTGTGACCTTCACAGACCGTTCGAGGTGAGGCTGCAACTACGTCCCGTGACAACGTCGTGCACTGTCGTATCGTTGGCTAAAAGGTGAAGGAGCGCCGTAAGATCCGCAGATGTAGAGGAGGGCCCTACGAACAAAACCACGAATCGTGATAAACAAGGATTACAAACTCCTGGGTCGAGTTCACGTGTTGTCTACCGATGATGTTCCAGCGGGAGATCGGCCAACCGAACGTTGCAGGAAGTCAGCAAGTACTCGTGCTAGCTCATCCATTCAAGCCCTCAGTGGATAAAGCCGATCGACAATCATGCGTGCAGGCAGCCAGCACGCGCGTGTGTACTTTCTATCTCCTGGGTACCTTGCTGTTGTCGTCTTTGAGAGCCTGTTCGAGGGGCCGGAACACCGGGACCGGGTCGACGTAGCCCTTGGCCTTGATCGGGGTCAACGTCTCGAAGTCGAAGAAATTGTGCGCGCGTTTCCAGACCTCGAAATCCACCTGTGGGTTGTTGTTGTTGTTGTTGTTGTTGTTGTTGCTGATAATTGTTAATTGTTGTTGTTGTGTTCGTGGCTTCGCAAAGGGCTACCAAGAAGACGTGACACAAGAAACCGGGTTCCACAACATTGGGCTCCACTTTTGCCCTAGACAGCCATGGTCTCAACATAACAGCAGAGCGAGCCCTGGGTTAGTAGTTTAGAGAGGGGAAAGCGAGGGAATATACACCACTGTATCACAGCAGCAATGCACGGCTTGAACATTGAAAGCCGGGGATGAAATGAGCACGCGAAAAAATCTCGATGTCGTGTCAGCGTGGTTCTGCGGTCAAGTACCATGCCTGGATCGTGTTCTTCGGCGCGGAGGCCATGAGCCTCGCGCTCAGGTTGACGCTGCAGCCCATCATGGCGTACTCGCAACGCTTCGACGCCCCCACGAACCCGCAGTACACCTGCCCCGTGGTAATGCCGATGCTGGCCCCTAGCTGTAGGCCTTCGAACGCCAAGATGATTTCCTTCGAGGCAGAGATTGCCCGAACCTCGTTGTCTTCGTAGCTTTCGCGGGGTAAAAAAGGGTGACGGGATTACCAATCACGGCAATAGCGTGGAGGATGATCGTCAGTCGGAGAGGGAAGAAACCACCACAAACGTGAGGATGTGAACGTGGGAAAATGAAGGGAATGGGCTACGTTTGGGGGCTGAGTGTTGGACCAAGAACGAGTGTGCACGCGTCGTGTGAACCGAGCAGTGTTCGCGGACAGACAGGTTTGCTTTCGGAATAGGAGATGGTTGAGCGTATGCTAAAGCCGAGACCTTCAGACATCACACGCCACAAGTCAATTACGGCACAATACAATGGAATGTGATACCACGGTAATGCGTCGGTGGGCATGGCGATAGTTCCAAGCTTCCCTATCAAGGCGAAAACTTACGTATCGAAACTGTTTACCACAACGCATTTTTTTTTGTGTCCGTGTCCATGTCGGCGGTTGCAGAGAAAGCTGCCATGGATATTGGCTACCAAGCAAGCAGGTAGCACAAGACGATTCTGGCTGAACACACTGGAGAATGGGGGTTAGGACAACTGGTTGAAAACAACTGTTGAATGTGAGTTTGTTTACAACCGCGTTACTGTATACCTGTACTGAGGCAGGCCGAACGCCCCGATCATGACGCAGCCCTTGTCGTCCACCACGAACTGCCGGAGGACGCCCCCGAACTTGAGCAGACTGCTCACGCCGAGGTCCATCGTCTGCTGCAGGAGGAAGCCCCCGCCGCGCTTGAGCTGTTCCTCCAGCCCGTAGATGTTGATGAAGATTGTCGTGACGAAACGGATCTCGGCGAGGTACTTGACGGTGTTGCTCTGGATGGCGTGCCTCGCGCTCTCCTGGGTGAAGCCCCTGAGGGCGGTGCTCAGCCCCTTCATGGATTTCTCCACTCCCCCATCGTACTGCGCCTAGTTAGGTTGAAGTATGTATTACCCCCAAGCATTGGTGATGGGTTGGGCTTGTGATGAGCTGGGCGGGGAGGGTATGACTGGCATATGCGTGCGTTGTTCGTCGACGACTTGGACGGAGTGCTGTCGTTGCTTACAAATTGCGGGTGAGGGGGACTAGGGGGACGGGGAAGGAGTTGGTGCCGAAGTGTCATAAACTTCTGGCGAGGGCGAGAGGGAAGTTGCCCCAAGAGTCCAATCTCAGCGTAGTGGCCGTCGCAGTTGGACCAGAGCGGCGACGGCTCTGCTAGAAAAAGGTGTCTCGTCGCGCAGTTTGGAGGTGGCTTGGTTTCGAGCGAATCCCTAACTTGCTTTTTTTTCGCCCAAGGTGTGATTTCTGAACAAGTGGTAGCAAGCAGGAAGCTGTTTGGATGCACGGTTATTGTACTGCGCATGCATAGAAATGAAAAATACCTGTGACTGTGAACCGCATTGGACATCCACAAAATAGTAGGAATTGTCTCAGGGCTGAAATGGGCGGCGTTGGAACGCCTTTCCATTAGGTGTCCGCACCACACACGGACCGTTCAGAATTATGTGAGCGCCCTATGCTCACACAGGGGGCCAAGCTACAGTGTTCTTCGGAGCACCGATCAGTGTTCTTCGGAGCACCGATCAAGAGGGCGTGTATCGGTGCAACTCATTTGTACGACAAATCGTTCGCTTAGCACGGGGTTAAAGAGGCCAGCGTTCGATGCAAAAGCTCCGACGAATAGCAAGAGAGACGGCGTTCCAGACGTAGCTCCTTCCATCTGACCGACAAGTGCCAGGGATTTCGCGGACCTTGGGGTCAGGAAACCCGGTCTCATTGGCGAGCTTTTGGCTACTGCCGTTGTGGAGGGCATTCAAAGCCGTAGGCTGTACCAGATGACTTTACCTCGATGTAGGGAGCCAGGTAGTCGCTGGCCTGCAAGCGGTGCTCCTCGGAAACCGCGGAGGATTGGTTGACGTTCATGGTGACCGTTTTCGGAGTTGCGGGAGTGCCGCAAGAGGGGCTGGCAATGGATGCCTTCTTGGTGCATTGGTTGGTGGGGTGGGCAGCACACATGGTTGACTCGTCCTCTTCGGTGATCTGCGAACACGATGGGTATGGAGGGAGAAATGATCGCACGCACGGGCGGACGAAACGAACACAAGTCGGGGCTTCGTGAGACGCACTTACTTGTGATCTTCTTCTACGTACAGCAAGACTGATAGCGTGGGGGTGATTGTTTTGCACACATAGCGTCGAAGCAAGACGTAAAGCCCAAGGCGGGGAGCGAGTGAGGGATAAGAACCATGTAGGCCAACCTTCGTTCGGTGATCTGAGCCAACTACTGTGGATCAGGCGCGACCTACACTACTAGCGCGTGCGAGGTAGTCTCAAATATATCCTAACGTACATGCAACTGCACATAGCGTGCGGCATCCACGCTAACACAGTATCCGAACCGACCATAGCTGCAACCGGAAAGAAGGAAGGTCGGTGGGTCTAGCTTGGCACCATACGACAAGTCATGGTGGAGAATACCACGCTGGAGAAGCTCTTATTGCAGCGTGTAGCGACCGAAAACTGTTTGTGTGAGCACAAAGCGAAAACAACACGTGCAGGCTTTAGAATGTGCACGCCCCACTTACTACGAGGACACAGCACTTGTACGACCGACCGAGGCGATAAGTCGTGGCCACAAAAGGCGAGCGAAGAAAAGGGTGGAAACGAGTACACTCTTGTCACGAATGGCAGAAATGCAAAAGATCGCCAAAATGTTGGCGATGTCTCCTGTACGAGGTAGAGCATGATCATTCTCACTCTTGGAAGGGATTCACGGGGCAAAGTCCGACCATGTCGGCGAGCAACGTATTGGCCGAGCGTTCTCATCGCTAATCGCAGAATGTGGTATCTTCCTAACGCTCCAAGAGCCCCCACTCGTGCTGCTAACCCTGTTCGGTTTCTTCTCGAGGGACACTCACCGTTGATGCCCTATCCCTCCGAAAGACCGCAAGGCTGTTGCTCTCTTTCCTGTTTCTCTTCCCGGTGTGACGCGGTCTCCCACTACTGCCGCCGACAGGGGTACCACCCCCCCCCCTCGCCGATATCCCGCCGCCCACACCGCCCCCTCCGGCAATGAGGTCACCGGCGACGGCCTCGCCCGGCCTAGGAAAGGCAGGGCCACCGTTGTTGGTCTTCTCACCGCCGCCGCTACCAGCGTTTCCTTGAGCCGGGGCTAGAGAGAGCGCAACCGAGACGAAACATGAATTGCGCATTAGATCAAAATAGGAGCAGATAGGCTGGAAAATAACATCACGTAGTAGCCTGCGAGCAATACTCAGTGAACGGGATCGGCGAGAAACACAAGAACGATGAGGTAGGGAGTTTTTGGGGCCCACGCGGGGAGGACAACTTCTGTCTAGGAAATAGTGCGGACGGTGAACGGGTACGAGCATACAGGTAGGTGAAGCACCACTTGAATCCTCCAAAACGATAATGGTTTTCACTCCTTAAACATTTTCGGTCCTGCACCGGAGTACTGTAGCTCCGCTGCACATGTTCCCGACCTGAGTAACCAAAAAACGACCAAGTAGCCTGTGGTGTCTGCCGAAGCTAGGGCATGGCGAACCTCTCGCACGTGTTCGAAAATGGAACAAGCGAGTGGTAACAATCGAGACACAACATTTTCACATTTAGCGTATGGCACACGATAACATATGTAGACACTTGAACCCAGAGCAAGCGTGTGACGATAGGTTGGCCTTTCTCGCTCAACCCAAAGGCGGCGAGTCGAGAGCAACATGAGTCAAACCCGAACGAAGAAGACACGAATGATCCAAATGTCACTTGGACGGGCTTGTTCATCCGGCAAACGAACTCACATCCTCCTCGAAACCGTTTTGAAGCCCTTCCCGCGCCCACCCCGGCCAGGCCATCACCGCCGGCGGCGTCACCACCACCGCCTCCGGCTCCCGCTGCGGCTCCTCCTCCGTCAGGGGTCGGGTTGCTCGAGGGAAGGTGGGGGCTTTCGGCAGCCGACGCGCGGTGTCGCCGGTTTCTTTCTCCGGCCGCCTCCCTGGTAGGGGAAGAAGGCCTTGACACGTCTCTCAGGTCCCTCAGCAGCCAATTCCCCTGAGTTACGTACCGGTTGAGCGAGATGTGCGACCAGAGATGAGGCGAATGAAAGGCGAGTAAGAACAAGGAAGCGAGAGGGGGGAGGGCAGAGATCGGCAGCCGAGGAGAGAAGAACAGAAGAAGGAAGGGAGGGACAGAAAGAAAAGCGCACATGGGCACACAGAATTGGAACTCCATGCCTATATATGCGATCTAGGTCAGGTAAGCAAAGGCTTTATTTACTTGCCGATTTTTTTTCTACCCGGAGAAAGACCGCAGTGGTGCTGTGTGGAAACGTGCTTCTCTTTCGTCCCTAATCTCAACCCCCTTCACTCCTAACCCATATCGCCCTGAGAGAGCGTCAGAGTTTGGAGTCCAGGACAGGCTTGTGTCTCTGTTGTTGATACATAAAGCAGCTGGCTGTGCCCGTCAATTCCACCAACGCAACAGAACCCCATGCAAGCCGAAACGGTGGACAATGAGCAGCTACTTACGGCTTTCGCCAAACAGACAGGAGTACTGCCCGCAAGGGTAGGCAAACAAGCACCGTGAGGTGTGCTGCGGCGGAACTGTATCATCAGCATGTATTATTAGCGTTGGTGTCTGCTTTTACGCCCCAAGCACGCTCACGGGGAGGGACACACGTATCGTATCACCCTCATTGGTTGCCGTTCTAGAGAGGTTCTTGTCCGTTTCGACAAACCTGAGGCGTCTTCGTCGCCACAAAGTCGGTGGACGCCAGCTCCCACGCCTCCGGGGACAGGATGACCTCGCCCTGCGTTGCCTCAGGCTCAGCCTCGCCAATCTGTCGGAGGGGGTCCCCTGCCACCAAGTATTCCCACCTGTCGTCTGCGCCCACAAGGTAGCCGTACATCTGGCCACTGCGAGAAGCGGTCGAAGAGACCAAAGTACGAGGGCAAGCCAGAGTTGGGGGGTATCTTGCAAAAACCCGGGGACCATTTTGTTTCAGTGAGAGAGAAAGAGTGGAAGAAGAGCAATTCCTCGGACAAGAAAGAAGAAAAAACACTCCCGGAAGGAAAAGGAAATCAATTTTCAATCGGAGGATGAACAACTAAGTTTAGCCCGGGTCATTGTGTACTCCACCGCCGCTGAAAGAGCTACACAGTGGTTGACATTGATTCACGACACCTCGCACCCACAGCGTGTTGGGTTGGATTCCTGGTGCGTTAGGTTTTCCTACTTGTTTCAGCGTGTGTGTTGTGTGCACAACATGGCATGCACGTGTTTCAAGGTGGGAAAACAAAGTCGATATTTGAAAGTGTCGAACGATAAGCCCAAAGCAAACCATTGCCTTGGGTTCCCTGGTACGTAGACGCTGCACCTACACGTAGTGTAGATCGCTAGAAGCGCAGAGATATACAAGTGCAAAACGTTCAGAGAGAGAGACACACACACACACACACACAGAGAGAGAGAGAGGTTTAGAACAAATCCTTCAACATTTTGGATTTTTTGTTTTCTCACCTCCCCATCCCGCAGTGCAGACGGAGTGCCACGGCCTCCTCCCCCTTGCCCACGTCGTACTCCCCGCACTCGCTGAGCATCGTCAGGGCACACGCGGCCCCTTGCATCGCGTTCGCCTGAATGAATTTTTGGGTTTTACGACGGCGTTTTTGATGCTTGGTGGGTGTTCTTGTCCGCGTTTATTGTTCTTCTTGCTCAACTTGCGCTTGTACATGCGGGTTTGCGAGTACGATAGAGGCTTTCCACCTTCGTCATGCCCGTGCCCCATCGCTGGTGAACAGGTGTGGGTGCGGATTGTGGTCAGGGTTTGCATGGGATTGGTGAAAGAGCAGCTTCACTTCCCCATTTTCTAGGCACCGCATGCTACGGAAGAATGCATCCATTATTGTTGCTCTCTACTTTTATCGGTTTCTTTCGGGTCGAAACGTACACAATTGTATACATCGCATGCCAAACATCGTTTGGCGTCGGGTCGAAACACATACGATCGTTTCATTTACAAGCGTGTCACGCTTTGTATCACGTTTATCCCACTGAGCACTCTTCCTTGCCAAGCCAGAGTCTGTGACCCTAACCGCCGCCCTACATAGACCCGAGCCAACGTCGAGACCCTTACAGTATTATTCTACCTCTAACCCTTCGATCCAAGACATCGAAAGCCGAAAATACCAAGATCACCTGAAGCACCCCTCTTGGAGCGGTGTGTTCCGAGGGCCAGACGATCATCACGGCGTCTCCGCAGAACTTGATGATGTCGCCGCCATACCGCGCCACGACATCGATCAGCATGGTAAAGTACTGGTTCGTGTGCGTCTTGAGCTGCTCCGCATTCAGCCGCGCGCTCAGCCGCGTGAAGCCCGAGATGTCCGCGAACAGCAGAGTCGTCGAGAACCTTTGGGCGTTGGGATTGGGGCTTGAATTAGGACACAGGGTACAGCGTGAAGCGCAGAGTCTACGGATGATTGCTAGAGTTGCCGTTCAGGTGAAGAAAGCACCCACCCATCCACTTCCTCACGTCCAATCACCCAGCCCACCTCTCGCACGTGAACTCCTGTTCGTTGGAACCATGGTTGAGTAACTTCTGCCGAAGCATGCGGTGCACAATGGCCGGGGAGAAGCGTGCCCACTGGCTGCACAGCGCCTCGTACTGCGCCGCCGAATCTGCGGTGTCTCCGGTGACCTATGACAGAGAGGGGTTACATACGCGTTCGGGTTTGGAAAATATCGAATCTGTCTCATCGTGACACGGAAAGCAGTTCCAATCATGCGCGCCACTCATAACAATCGCCAACGGTTAAGCGCGGTCGATGGCAAGATACTATGAAAAGGGAACCAGTGCGAGTGAGTCGCGGAAAATCGCGTACAACAATCTGGGATAATTTGAAGGACGTCAGAAATGACTCGTGAGGTGGAGCGCTTCTCGCCACTACAAGACAGCAGCCTTTTCTATGTGACGAGCCAGACAGCAAAGGTGCTCAAGCTGTAATTATTGCCACATTCCCCGAGCTGTAGCGGATGCAGAGCGCACAACACGTTTGACAAAGCTCTCGCGGAGATTTTCCAGAGAAGCGCGCAGCCCCGCCGATTTCGGCGTCTCTCCCGCCACCCTTCATCCCGTTCTCTCTCCACGTTGCCACACTCGAAGAAGAAGAAATCGAACAAGTGTCCTCCGTCCCGAAACTGCCGTAGGGTTTCCATACCTTGGGAGCGTAGAAAGACATCGTGGGGATGATGTTCTGTCCTCCCCCGGTCACGTTCCTCCGCAGGCCTCGCTTCACCTCTGCCGCGCTCAGCTGTTTGGCGCGGAGACGGTTGAGCCCGCCCACTCGGAATATACCTGTTGGGTTTGATCAATGGCCGCGGCGGGCAGAAAAAATGCCAGGGCAAGCGCATTTGATCGTGTGTCGAGGAAGGGGAAGGAGGAAGAACGAATAACGAATCCCAGAAAAGTGGTACCACGCATACCCGCGAGACGTTTTCCATTGTCCCCACTATCTTGGCCTCATTCACATTCTTGGTGTATGGTATGTTCATTTGACGAAGGCTTTCCGAGGCCGTCGGAGGAAATCGAACAGTCTTGTTTGTCTCCCCGTCTTGTCCCTGAATTCCTTCCGCGTTGTCGTGGCGAGCAAAGCAAGGTGTCAAGACCCTAGCAAGCATCGCATTCGCCTTCTTTTTCACCGAGGCGAAAGGCTTATCGTCGTGGGTCTGGTTCGGCCATGCGTCTCTCCCCCAGTGCACCACTGCATTACTCTCGCTGACAAACGCACATCTTTCTACCCTCCTGCGCAAGGCGTCTACCCGAACATGTGGTTCGCCGACCTTCAACCAACACCGAAAGTATGCCCGGTCCGTGCCCGCCGTTCCTACCGTTTCCCGACTCTCCAGCTATGTCCACCTGGTACAGTTCCCGGCTGCTTTGCCGAGGTGTCTTCTATTATTGAATTCGAAGAAGCGAGACACTCAGCCTTTTCTGTCTCTCTACGCCCCGATCCCCCACCGTGTACGATGCCAAGTATCACCTACCTCACTTTGAGACGTCGTGTGATGCATACGTTTTCGACGACGGAAAGGTTGTTTGGATTGGACGATAGACATTCAGATTTGTACGATTCTAAAGACGTCTAATGGCATCAAGGGACAAGCGTCCACACCGATATTAAGAATCGCCCAGGACGGAAGTGGCACTATGCATGCAGGCGTCATACATGTACATCTGTGGCGTCCCCCGATTCTCACCAAGGGCCATGAATACCGCCCGTAGCACGCGCCAATTCTTTCTTGCTCGCTCTCCGTTGTGTTCCACCAACTCGTCCTCGGACAGATCGTCATAGTTGCCCGTCTTGACGGAGCGGGCCGAGTACAGCATGCTCCAGCGGCTGTTCTTCCTGCCGCTAGATTTGTCGTTGGTCTGCGCAACGTTCTCACCAGCCGCCCCCCAATGGCTTGCCCTGAGGTCCGCTCTTTGGAGGAAGCTAGGAATTGACTTCATTCCGAACGCGATGCTGTTGCTACGATTGGAAGAATCTTGGGGGGGGGATTTGACTCTAATTGAGCGCCCCCCCGCCCCTATCGTCCTCCCCCGATGTTGCGTGGACTCATCAGTGGATGCGAAGGCCGCATCATGGGCGCTCGCCACCGGTGAAAGAGCCGCAGCAAGAGGTTCAGCAAGCGTTGTTGCGGGGTCGGCTTGGTCGTCGTCGCCGTCATCGTCGCCGTCGGCATCGTTGTCATCTTGTTCACCATGGTCGTCGTTGCTTAGGCTGGTCTCTCGGTTTGCCCCGCCCTTCTGCGCCTCACTCACCAAGTCGCTACTACCACCGCCGCCACCCTGGGAAGGGCTACTTGCTGGTGCTGGTGCTGGTGCTGGTGCTGTCGTCCAAACCTCCGACGGCGACATTTTGTGTTCGTTGCTGTCATTGCTACCGACGCTCCCGCTAGGGTAAACGCCGCTGCTATCTCCACCACCCATGCCACCGCCGTAAGAGCTTAGGTTAGCCCTGGACTGTTCGCCCCAAGGCTCGAGTGCTTGTAGAACAACCCGGCCGGATGGACGCGTCGACGTTGGGGTGGGAGACGCCAATGCTATCGCAGCGTTCAAATGGCTGCTGGGCTCAGAATCAATGCTGACGACTTCAGCATCGTTGAGTGCCAGCGCCCTCGGCGCCATCATGTGAGCTTGGGGATCGGGGTCGACATCATTACGGTTGTGCAATGATGACGCTGCAGGCGATAGCGCCGACGAAGGCTGAGTGTGAGGGGAATGGTCGTCCCTGGCGGGCGGGGAGGAGACTGGTAATGTCGGTGCAGCGGCAACAATGTTCATCTCCACCCAAAAACAAGGCGCTGTTGGAACGATGAAGCTGGTGGTGCTGGCGGCGATGACGGTGCCGTCACGCGGGAAGTTGGTTCACGTACAGTAGCTGCGTCTGCCTGCCAAGACCATGGCATCGAGAATAAAGAATAAAGAGGCAATGTGAGCTACGGTGTTGGGCGATCAGCTCAGGTCGCTGAATGAAGAAGGTTGCCCGATGAAGGCTGTTTTAGTGGTGGTGGCGCAACAGCCCTCTTGACAAGGACACGCATTTGAGTAAGACGGATATACGTCACCTGGATCGCTCTCAGCTGGTTCCTTTCACGCTGCCCTTGGGCAACCAATGGGTGATTGTACCAAGCAAGCCAAAAGCACCGTCTCCGAATCCTAACACGGGGTACTGCTCACATGTTTCCTACTTGATGTCATGAGTAAGAAGCAAGTCTCAACCCGTCATGCAGACGACACACGTTCCGCGTTATAGGAAACACCGTCGTCGGTATCTACCTACTCACACACTACACTGCTGTGCTGCAAGATTAACCATGAAATGTCCCCCCGCGGCACGTACAGCCCAAACACTCTGCGACGTACTACGTCTCGTCTCGGCACAAATACGTGGTCCATGGCGACGTGGTGCGTCTCTCTGGGTTCAGGAGGAGCGGTGAGGGTCACCGTGTTTTTGCGAGCGGTGTTCATTATGGAGAATCACTTCTGGGTTTGTTGTACACCTTACTATTGGTGAGCTTGTGACAAATCTTGTTGGTCAGGACGGAGGTCGGTACGTTGACTGGAACGACGAAGACGTTCGGACAGGCACAACAGGTACATTTACTACTCGGCCAGGCTTCTCTAGAGCCACAGCAGTTCGATTGGTGTTGGTGTTGCGGAACTGTATCAAAGCTCTTGCCGGGATACGACCATCACGAAGAGGCATTGCTCTCCAAGAAACAAGAACACATTGGCGACAAACATCCACGCACCTCGTTACGATATGGGGGTTATTCTTTTTTGCAACGGACGATGCAGTCTACATAGTCGACACCTGGTACTGACGTTCGACTGCGGTGCAAAGCATACCGTAAGTACTTCTACAGCAGTAGTTAGGACTGCAGGATGCAGAGAGGGGTTGTTGACTTACTCGATTTTCTCTATGCATACATGACATCAATAAAAATAGGTAGCACGACATGCGATCAGGTGAGGTTTCGACGCACTAGCCTACGTCTACATATGTATGTAGTGCGGGCCAGTGGAATACTGCTGTAGACTATCTGTGGTCGCGCGCAGGAGCCCATAATCGACAGCAAATAGCACCCGTCTCCCCTCGGTGTTGAAAGAGCTTTTGTCATCTCACGCAAGTTACAAATCTCACCTCATGGGAATGCAAGATAGTACTACTGTACAGCCGCTGTGTCATCGACGGCGCATTGCTGTCCCCGGAAAATGTGCTCAGTACTCAAGCCCGCCCGGCTGTGCGGCGACTCAGAGGTGCACATACATCCCGACACTCAGTTTCGAGCGTTCCCCCATACCATGCACGAAATGAATCAAAAGCCACAAGTTCATCGCTCGCGATGGAAGATTGGATTCCCCCGCTTCCTCCTCCTCCTCCTCCCCTATTATCTTGCTCCCTGGGGTGCGAGAGAAGTAGAGAAGACACGAAGATACGAAGTACAAAAATCAGCAATAGCGAAACCCCCGCTCAAACGTAACTTGTTGCACCGCATCACGTCATCTCATCTGGCGCTGATTACGCCGCATCCCTTCACGGCGGGAGTAGCACCGTTTTACCCCGGTGGGGAAACTACTGTTATGTGTAGCGCATAATCAATGCATTTTAGAGACATTCTACTTGTGGTCTAGGGAGTGGGCGGGAAGACTTAAGACAGGGTTTCCCCGTCAAGCCGTCAACTTTCCCGCCGGCCGCCATGGCATTCCGCTGTCTGCTGGCCCGTGGACGCCATTTATCTACCTCGTTCCTCAGCTGGAGACATAGCACTCGACAACATAGCACCGCAGCAGCAGCAGCAGCAGCGCAGCCGTCTGTCCTTCGCTCTCGCACCGCAGTTTCAGCAATTCCAGGGGGCCTTCTTCTACTCACTGCCATGGTCGTGAGCTGGGAAAGGGAGTCTGGGGAGGTGCAGTGCGATTCGGCAACAGACGAGAAAGGTGTGTGACGGCGGTGCAGGCAGTAGTGTATTTTTGGGCGTGTGGGGGGTGAGTGAGGGAACTGGCGATACCGTTGCCTGTTGGTGTTGCTGTTGCTGTTGATCACCTCTTCGTACTTTTAGTCCTACGGCCGCGCCCTCTGCTGTTTGGAATTTGGAACAGCTGATCACAGCAGTAGACTAACGAACGAACACGTGTTCCAGCGTGTTGTTCACCTCTCCGGTGCTCCCCTGCGTGTCTAAATCCTCAACGATGGGGTATTTTGTATTTTGTAGTTTCCCCACCGGTGGGGGATTGGTGTCAACAAATACCCCACCAGCTGCATCTCGTCCTACAGGGCACTTCTTGACGTAGGGCATGCACAACTGTGTTGCTGTGTTTTGGGGCTATCGTGGGACACGCCGTACAGCCGAACGGTCCAGGTTTGGTGCAGCCATTAGGGCTGATGGGGGGAAATTTATCAGCTGCCCCAACCTGCCCCACGGATAGGGTACATAAGCCTTGAATACCCCACCAGCTGCTTGTACTGTAGCCCTACAAGGCTCCAATCGACACACAAGCACCGGTAGGAGTGTGTTGAACATGATTACACAGCACACAGCAGCGGATGAGGCGGCGAGCTTGTCAAGTATTCCCGCCACACAGCTCTAAACACGTCCAGTGGGAGTAGAACACTGCCTTCTATTTTCTTGCAGGCAGACTTACTTGCTACCGCTACGCGAGAATCCCACTGTATCTCGCCCTACAAGATTCCAATCGACACACAAGCACCGGTAGGAGTGTGTGGAACATGCACTCACGCCACACAGCAGCGGACAGCGGGTGAGGCGGCGAGCATGTCAAGTATTCCCGCTACACAGCTCAAAACCCGTCCAGTGCGAACCAAACACTGCCTTCTCACTGGTGGGGTACACAGCCTTTCTTACCCCCGCAGCTGTATCTCGCCCTACAAGACTTCATTAGACACAGGACACGCAAAGCTGTGCTCTTGTGCTGCTGTGTGCCGTGTGTTGTGCGTGCATCAACTACACATTCCTACGACGGTGCTTGTGTGCCATCGGAGCCGTGTGCAGAAGTGCCAGATCCATGGTGGTAGGTTTTTTAGTCACAAATCTCCCGCCGGTGGGGCGCATCCGTGGTTCACCCCGCCAGCCGTGGCAGCACCTAAACGGAACCCTGTGGGCTCAACGATGGGTCATACGATAGTCCTACAAGTACAATGCAGCAACACCGTTGGGCATGTCCTGTGTCGACTGAAGTCTTGTATGATGAGATACAACTGCGGGGTAAGCAGGGCTATGTACCTCACCAGTGAGATGGCAATGTTCGGTTCCTACAGGACGGGTTTTGAGCTGTGTAGCGGGAATACTTGACGTGCTCGCCGCCTCACCCGCTGTCCGCTGATGTGTGCTATGAGTGCATGTTCCACACACTCCTACCGGTGCTTGTGTGTCGATTGGAGTCTTGTAGGGCGAGATACAGCAGTGGGATTATCGTGTAGCTTAAGCAAGTAAGTCTGCCTGCAAGAAAATAGAAGGCAGTGTTCTACTCCCACTGGACGTGCTTGAAGCTATGTGGCGGGAATACTTGACAAGCTCGCCGCCTCATCCGCTGCTGTGTGCTGTGTATTCATGTTCCGCACACTCCTACCGGTGCTTGTGTGTCGATTGGAGCCTTGTAGGGCTACATGCAGCAGGTGGGGTATTTAAGGCTATGGTGGGGCAGGTTGAGGCAGCTGATAAACTTCCCCCATCAGCCATGGCTGCACCAAACCTGAACCGTTCGGCTGTACGATGGGTCCCCACGATAGCCCCAAAACACAACACACAGTAGTTGTGCATGTCCTACGTCGATCGGTGCCTTGTAGGGCGACATGCAGCTGGTGGGGTATTTGTTGACACCAATCCCCCACCGGTGGGGGAAACTACAAAATACAAAAGGGAAATAGACACAAGTGGGTATACCCACCCCTTTCTCGGACTAAAGTGGGTACTCGAAAATCCAGCGCGCGCGCACTCCATAGGCGATCCCCAAACGACTCAAAACCCCATTCTGACACCTGGGAGACACAGTAAGGGACCATACACAGCACGGGCATCGTTTTTTCCCCACTTTTAGGCACACCTTTGGCCCTAATACCGCCGACGCGCGCAAGGCCTCACCAGAGTGCCCACTTATGTCCGACATCGCGGTGGGTATACCCACCGGCGTCAACTAATTTTTTCATGTACCCACTTGTGTCTGTATTTTGACCCACTTTTGTCCAAATTGTACCCACTTTTGTCCACTTACGGACGGCGGAAATCGAGCGGAAATCGACCTCCACGTCACCGCACGGCAGAACATCGAATAGCCTCGGAACGTCTCAGAACCTCCCAACACCGTATCCATGGCATCTTTCTTTCCTATCCATGGCTGCCGACTGCGGACCGACCACGGAGGAACATGTCAGAAACATACCAGACCCCTTCGGTACCGGCAGGGGAAGATACCAGGCACGGGAAGATACCCGCGGCAAGCCTACTGTTGTTGCCGTGACGAGTCGGTGTGCACTCGTCGTGGTGGTTGGTGTTTTTGTGTGTGTGTTGTTGCTGTTTGCGCGTCTTTTTGTTCTGTATGCGCGACCCGTTGGTTGTGTTGTCCGTTGTGTGTCACGCATTTATTTGTGGCGTGCCGTTAGTGCGCTGCTTGCCGGGCTTGCCGCGGGTATCTTCCCGTGCCGGTACCGAAGGGGTCTGGCATGTTTCTGACATGTTCCTCCGTGGTCGGTCCGCAGTCGGCAGCCATGGATAGGAAAGATGCCATGGATACGGTGTTGGGAGGTTCTGAGACGTTCCGAGGCTATTCGATGTTCTGCCGTGCGGTGACGTGGAGGTCGATTTCCGCTCGATTTCCGCCGTCCGTAAGTGGACAAAAGTGGGTACAATTTGGACAAAAGTGGGTCAAAATACAGACACAAGTGGGTACATGAAAAAATTAGTTGACGCCGGTGGGTATACCCACCGCGATGTCGGACATAAGTGGGCACTCTGGTGAGGCCTTGTGCGCGTCGGCGGTATTAGGGCCAAAGGTGTGCCTAAAAGTGGGGAAAAAACGATGCCCGTGCTGTGTATGGTCCCTTACTGTGTCGCCCAGGTGTCAGAATGGGGTTTTGAGCCGTTTGGGGATCGCCTATGGAGTGCGCGCGCGCTGGATTTTCGATTACCCACTTTAGTCCGAGAAAGGGGTGGGTATACCCACTTGTGTCTATTTCCCAATACAAAATACGATTATACCCCCATCGTTGAGGATTTAGACACGCGTGTTCGAAAACATCATCACCCTGCTTCATGTGTACGGCCGAGACCCAGTAAGACATGCACCTGTAGGTTCATCCATCACCATCCTCTCGGGTGACTCGCGCGTGACTCCGTAGCGTTGCCCGTGTTCCGTAAAAAATGACGGAATGCCCCCCCACACGCTAACTCCCGCCCGCGCTGCCGAAAAATTTCCTTGGTCAGTTATGGCGGCGGCGGCGGCGTCAATGTCCTCGGAGAAGAGAGAGCTGAGGCGCGTGGCACTGGCGCATCTGACCAAGTCCGTCCGCGCGGGGGCGGTGAGTAAACTCGAACGGGTAGTCTTTTCTGTGTGATTTTGTACATTATCTAGAAACAACACCGCCGTGTACTACTCCAGGAATGTCACAATGCTACCAGAAGGGTGTGACACACAGCTGATAGAACCTCCTGCTCTGCATTCTTGACCCGAAACGACCGAAGTTTAGTCCTGCCACGCTACATATGTACCTCGCACGGGGAGAGCACTTGCGATTTCGTATTGGTTTTTTGAGGAGCCAGAGAGGGTTCGGCAATCATGACTAAAACGTTTCGTCGTTTGCCTGCAAACGGGCGCGGATGCGTCATAGATAGAAGCGTGCCACCAACATCAGTCTCACTGTGTATTTTTTGGCCCTCCGCTAGTACAGACAGGTGAAGAGCTCCTCGCAGCTTTCTCACTGCCGTCCCGCTACACCGTTTCGGTCCGTATGCTATGTTCACACGCAGGCCTGTTCTTCGAAAGGCAGGCGAGCGATTCCCCCGGGCTGTTCGCCGCGTTTTGATTCGGGCCTGGAACTCATGTCGCACGCACAAAGTGCAAGCTTGCGCCTACCTCTAGCGTTGTTCGTAGGCCGATCGGTGGTGTTCGAAAGCCGCATTTTTCGCTCATTGTTGGGATGCGGCCCCCCTGTCCTGACCTGAACTCCCGCAGGTTAACGACAACCTCAAGAACCAAAGCCAAGACTCAACGGTAGGCGCGTATGAGGAGGGGGGCGGGGTTGGTGGCACCGTCGCCCTTGCGGCGGCTCTGCTGCGACCCGGCGAGAGCGAGGACGAGGAGGCCAACCAATCAGTTGGAGGAGAGGGGGACACGGTGCCGCTGCCCCCGAACGTGCACGACGTAGACAAGATCTTGGTCAAGACGCCGCTGCTGCGGAACGACAACGCGTTCCACGATACCTTAAACAGTGAGACTGTTTCCTCGTTCTTTTGTATATCATTGTGTTTTAAGTGTTTGCCTTGAACAGCAGTAGTAAGACTGCGCGTGGGAAGGGTGGGTAATTCCACAGGGCGATATCCTCAACGAGGTCTCCTGGCCAGTTTTTTATTCCTGATTTTTTATGGTGTTTTCGTGGAGTTGCAAACATTTTGGTTGCCCCAAAAGTATGTGGAGCGTTCACCTTGTGTTGGGACCTACATTACCTCTCTCTGCGCAAGGGTGGAGAGCGTTTCATTGTCGAAGGGGTATCTGTGAACCGTGAGTTGGACTGTGGGGTGTCTGCTGGAACAAAGTTGGCAAGACGGGGACGGGTTGTGTGGCGTGCGTACGTACGTACGTACAGAGACCCCGAGGGTAGAGGGAGCGAGCGAAGCGAGAAGGGAGGAATGACAAAGAGGAGGAGAAAGAGAGAAAAGGGGGTGGAACCGACAGCAAGAAGAGTCGAGAGTGTTTGGACATCGCTCAGACACGATCCGTACATGACCTCCCTCCAACCTCTTTCTTCTCCTGCCTATCTGCTTGCATGGAGACCTCGTGTACCTTGGTTGGGCATCCGACACCTCTGGATGTGTAAAAAAACAGTACTTCCGCCGCAACCCCTCTGGCGCGTCTTTCTTACGCTTGTTCTCCAGACGACAGTGGCATCAGCTGCCCGTTTGTGCTCAACAGACCGGACCAGGATGGCGAGGGAATCGAAGCCGTCGTGCGATTCGGAAAGTCTATCGCTGGGCACCCAAAGGTTGGTGTCTGTATATTTTGGCGTTGGTCGCCCCAACCGGCTGACCAATGAAAATGTGCAACCCCGTGCGTGCGGGAGAGTGGCGAGCTACGAGCTGCTGTGGTGTCAGAGGTTTTTAAGTATTTCTCTGCTGCTCTCCTACCGTACTCACGGGTAGTAGCTGCAAAGTCACAGCACGTGCTACCCGTCATACAATACACCCCCCCCTCGGCACAAATTTTCTGTTTTCCGTTCGCAGATCGTTCACGGTGGAGTGACGGCCCTGACGTTCGACAACCTCTTCGGAATGGCGCTGTTCTTGCAGAACACTGGCGCCGTGTTCACGGCCTACATCAAGGTAGGTTAATGCAGAGAGTTTGAACGATGCGTTCAGAACGATGTGATGATGGTGGGTGGATACGTAGGCGTTATATTTGCCTCTGTTAGGGGGGTTATGTAGGCGAGGGGGGGGGGGGCGTACTCACGCTTTTGCGTACACTAGCTGTTAGGCCATTGGCCACCATATAGGGGGAGACGGAAACGCATCCCGTGGGTTTTGTCGACGAGCGGGAGATAAAATCGTCTCCTGTGCGACACGGCCGTTTCTGTGACTCACCATGTGTGCCTCACCACACGCGGCGAGAGGACTTCACTCACCGTGCTCGGCCAATCATCGTGCAGGTTGTCGACTAATCAAGAGCTGCAGGAGTGTCGCTCTTTCGATATCAATCGTCTTGTTGATAGACTTACATGTTCTGCGCCACAATTTGGAAGATCGATCGATGGTGAGAAACGGGCTGGCATGCTTGCCGGTGCCATTTCGAGCAGCCCCTCGTTCTGCGGTCTTTGTTCTTCTGTGTCCTATCGGCTGCGTGTAATTTTAGATGCGCGTTCTTCCGGCGTACTGCCCTTCCCTCAAGACAGCCGTAGCTTCTTCTTGGGAGTACCTCTCTCTTCCGCCCGTCCGTTGCATCGTACGCACCACCAATGAATGTCCAGCAATATTATGTACGGTACTCCCCCCCCCTCCCCCAGGTGGATTTCAAGGCGCCGCTGCCGTGCCTCACAACGGCGGTCGTAGACATCACCGTGGACAGAAAGGAGGGACGCAAGCTCTACGTGACCGGCAGGCTCAAGAGCCTTGACGGGACTGTCACCTTTTCCTCGGCGGAGGCTCTCTTTGTCAAGCCGAAGGAGGCGTCTTCGGGAGGGGGGGAGGGGAGGGATGGAGAACCCAGCGAGTTGCTCCGGGGCTTGGTGGTGTGAGCGAGAAAGAAGCGTTAGTATTGTAGTGGCGTTTGATAGATATACTTGTAGCAATGCCAAGTGGTTGTAGGATTGTGTGGTACGTGGAATGTATTTCCAGGGTGTGCAAGGTACCCCTGTTGTATACTGCGTCGCCCCCGTACTGATGGTGCGTGCGCGTGTGCGTGCAGTTCGTTCATGTGTTCATGTGAGTCCATGTTTTTCATGTGAAGAAGAAGTCTATACAACAAGCCCAGCACATCTTTCCTCCTTGGCGCGAGTTCGCCGAGTTGCCGACACCCTATTCAACACACGTCTTGCGACAAGCTACCCCCAGTTCGGATCATCCTAACACGCTAGCGTGTGATATCACACGGGATCCCGAGGTGAGGTTAGCTATAAAAGGGTTCGGCTAGAGAAGTAGATCATGGAAGCCCTCGACCTCAGCAGCTTAACTGAAGAGGACCGCCAAGCATTATCGGCGCACATCAAAGAGGAAGTGGAGAGAGGAGTACAAGGAAAAAATCAAGTTTACCGAAGAGAAGCGTCCCGCATCAGAGAGCGTGGACAAGCCCCCCGATGGAGGCGATCCCCGGCATGCTCGGCCGGCTGGAACAGCGTTAGACCCGCAACCTGAAGACCAGCCACGATCGTTGGAGGACCGTCTCGTTGAGTCCTTCGCGCGGGCAATGCGGAGGACCAACACTCCGGGGGAGGAAACCAGGGAAGTCTTACCCCCTAAGGACACCATTCGTGTCAGTCCTGTAATACATGTAGCCCCATTTACGGGTGTGTTCGATTCGAGTGTCGATGTCCAGGTTAGAGTGCAGGTTTTTGAGAGCCAATTTCGGATGTTGCTGCAACAAGAAGATTGCCTGAGCGCGATACAATCAGAAGAGACGATCAAGGTGGGGAAACCAGATGCAGACATTCCCAATCTGAAGGAGGAGTATGGTAGGAGGGCCGTAGAGAAGGCTATGAAGGCATGGCAGCTAATACTGGCGAAGATTCAGGTTGCATCGATCGTTCCAGCCATTATCTCTAGTGGTTGCCCCACGGAATCATGGAGGATATTCCGAAACTACTTTGAAGTGCACGCCCACACAGAAAAGACTAGCCTCCAACTAGAGTGGCAACAATTGACGCAGAAGGGAGACCAACATCCCAAAGAGTACCTGTCGAGAGGGTGGGTGCTAAGGCAAAGATTGTCGTCATGCGGCGTGATGATAACTGAAGATGATGCCAACAGACACCTCGTGCGCAACCTCCTCCCGGATTATGATGTATACACAGGTTTTCTCATGTCCGAGAATGGTCTGGAGAGGGAGAGGGTAGAAAGAATCATAGTGAATGCTTGGGCGGAGATGGAGGCGAGAAGGAAGAAGAAGCAGGAGAGCGTGGGGGCTTACGCCCTCGTCACTGGCGGTGAGAACCGTAGTGGCGGGGGAGGGAACACGGGGGGACCAGGGCAGTCGAGAGGACAACGGAGGACGGGAGCGCGACAACAGCAGCAACAACCGCAGCAGCCACATCAGCAGAATCAGCAATACTTCTATCGACAGCAACAGATGTACCCGCCGCCGCACCCGCCCGAGATAAGATATTGTGACCTCCACAACACCCCGTCCCACAGCAACGATGAGTGTCGCTGGCAGCGAGGTTGGAGAGGTCCCTCGGGCAGCCAAGATGCGAGATACGGCGGAAGGTACGGGCCCCAGCATGGGGGCCGGGGCTTTTCTGGAGGAGGACGTCATCAGCAGCAGCTGGCAAGAGGAAGACACGGTGGACGTGGCGCCACTCCCGGTGGATGGGGCAGAGGCCCTCCTCACCAGGGAGCACCAGGCAGCAATCTTCCCGCCTACCCCGTGCCTCAGCAGGGGTACGACTACAGCGCTTACCCTCCGAACATCTACCGCCCCCAAGGAAACGAGCCACCTATCCACGCAGCAGATCCGAGGAAGCGGTGCGAAAACTGCGGTGAGATGGGCCACAACCACATCTTCTGCCCTTCACGGGTGGATGTAGGCAGACCAGCCGGCCAGCCCGCAGCGCCCGCACCGCCCCGACCCCCGGCCGCGGGATACAACACCCAGCGGCCCCCATGGGCGCACTCCTACGGGCAGGCTAACGCCGCACAGCAGTACGGCGGGGGGCCGCACGAGACAGGAGCGGCAGCAGGCGCGTCAGCAGGAGCGGCGGCAGAAGCACAACAGCATCCGGTGACGCACGCGAGCGGCGTTTACGAGTACCCGCCCCAACAGCAGCAGCCGGAGTACCTTCCCCCCCCCGTGCAACAGCAGCAGCAGTCCATTCCCAGCCCGTACGCTCCTCCGGCGCCTTCGACCGGAACGTCTCCATCGGCTGGTGGGGATTTGCATGCGTGTGTGGTGTGGGCTTTTCCACGTGAGTCAGAGAATGGTGTGCTGGTAGAGCGTAGGGTCGAAGGGTATGCCATGATGAACATGATAGATGAGAGTGTAGGAGACGAAACTTGGCTTGCAGACTCTGGCGCAACGAACCACACCACAGGAGACCCTAGGTGCATGTACGATGTGGTGATTCCTCCCCCTGGTAGCGAGCGAGTGGTGATTGGAGATGGAAGGATTATGTCTGTACTTGGTATCGGGAGCCTGAACGTAAAGTTCCACAACGGTAGGAGCGAGTTTTGCGTGAAGCTCACCAACGTACGCCACGTTGAGGGAATGGATTTTAATTTATTTTCGCTTCACAAGGCCATGGGCGGGCAACGCATAGTAATGGATCCTGTAGGCATTCACCTATTCGACGGAAATTTAACTTTTCCCCGTGGCGAGCGTGGTTCATCGTTGAGAGCCACTCGCCTGCCCCCGAATTACGGGACGCCCATTGCTGTGCCCGTGACAACGCCGTTTCCCCCGCCCGCCCCTCGCTCTGCCGATTACGTTAGTGTGAGTGGTGTTGAATCTATGCATGCAATCCCCCGCATGCAGCCTTCCCCCCAAGGTGTAGCGTACGTGCCCCCTCCCTCGGTGTCTAGTGTACCGCCCACTGTCGCCAGCGCCAGCGGTGTAGTACCTCCAACGGTGTCTAGGTTCCCGCCCACTGCAAGCAGTGTCGTGCATCCATCTGCTCCGAGGAGCATAGTGCCGTCCCATGTCTCTGGTTTCCCGCCCGCTGCCAGCAGCGTAGTACCTCATGGAGACCCCCCCCACAGGAATATTTTTCATGCACCCGTGTCGAATTTTCCGCCCGCTGCTACCGGCGTAGTACCTTCCACGATGTACGGTTACCCTCCCGCTGCAAACAGCGTAGTACCCTCTGCTGTGTCCGGTGTCCCGCCCGCTGCGAACAGCGTCGTTCCTCCGGCAATGTATGCCCCCCCCCTCGCTGACAGGAGTGTGGTTTTTTCTTCCGCTCCTCAAGTACCTCATGGAATGGAGTTGGTAGGTGTTCCCGGGCTGTCCTCGCCCGACGTCTCCGTTTTTCAAGAGAGTATTGATGATGATGACCGTGGGTGCATTCCGTTCACGGAGCAGGGAGATTACGAGTGGGCTGTGTACCTCTTAGAGCGACGAGAAGAATCAGACGACCCCCATGAATTTTTGGAGTTGATGTTTGAGTCTGGCTTTGCGAATGTCTTCGATGATGTTGCCTTTGCCGTCCCCGTCATGGCCCCGGGCAAGCGACCTTTTTCGGTGGGGAAACCCACAACCGTTGTTGACATTAATCTTCTCCACGTCTCGTGTTCCCATGCGAATGAGTTTTTGTTGCGTGAACTTTCGAAGCAGCACGGCCTCCGCCTGACCGGTGTTCTGCAGCCTTGTGGTGGTTGCATACAGGCGAAGGGGAAGAAGGCGGGCGTGCCCCATAAAATGGGCGCGCGCGCGAGCGGGCCGCACGATCTTTGGCACATCGATCTATGTGGGCCCATGACGGCGTCGCTGGGGGGATCATTTTTCTTGATCATGTTCGTGGACAGTTTCTCGCGGTGGATGAAGCTGTACGGGATGAGGCGCAAGTCGGACACCCTCGCCTTCGTCAAGAAGTTCCTCGCCGACATGAGTGGCACCGGTGTTCCTCGTTCTTTCCGGATGGACAACGGGGGGGAGTTCCTCAGCCACGACTTCATCGCCTTCTGCGACAACGCCGGCATCCGCCGTACGTACACGGCGCCGGGCACTCCGCAACAAAATGGCCCGGCGGAGAGCGCGATCTGGCGCGTGAACAAGGCCGGCCACGCCGCTCGTCTCGAAGCATGCCGCCTGTTCCCCAAGATCGACTTCACCCGCATCCCTGGCTACGGGCGCGATGGCGAGCGGCTCTGGCTAGAGTCATGTCACTGGGCTGCCGGCGGCTTCAACCGTTCCCCGACCACGGCGAACGCAGGGCACAAGTCGCCGCACGAGCTCTTCACCGGTCGCCCGCCCCCACTCCAGATCGTCCCGTTCTTGCAGCCGGGGTACATGCGTGTGACGCGTACGCGGAAGATGGACCCCCAGGCAGTGCTGTGCTGCTACCTCAACAATGGCGACAACCACCACGACTCGGCGGTCAAGGTTCTCAAGTTTGCTACGGGGCGCGTGTGCATGACGAATAACATTGTATGGGTCTCCGACCGCGCGCCGTTGCTAACCCCGCCGCTGGAGCTGCCGGCGCCGGCGGGCGAGGGGGGGGATTCAGATGTCGCCGCCGCACCGACGTTTTTAATTGAGTACATTGCACCGCCTCTCTTACCCCCCTCACCGTTCGCCCGAACCCCCACTTCACCCGCTGCCATACCCTCACAGGCGCCGCCGGCAACTTCCACACCACCATCGCCGGCGGCGCCGTCTACCGCAGCCCCGCCACCGGTCACCACCACCGCGCCGCCTGCAACGCCGTTCGCCGCCGCGCCACCGGTCACCACCACCGCGCCGCCTGCAACGCCGTTCGCCGCCGCGCCACCGGTCACCACCACCGCGCCGCCTGCAACGCCGTTCGTCGCCGGGCCACCGTTCCCTGCTGCCGTCAGTAACACCGTCTCCCGCCGCCGTGCCGCCCGGTGCCGCGCCATCGACCAACATGCCGCCGCTCACCACGAGGACCATCCGTGAACTGGACGTGGGACGCGGGGACATGAGGGTTTCTGGGCGCACGAGGGCAGCCGCTAAGGACCAGGGGGGGGGGCGGGCTTCGTCAATGCCGCCCCTCTCTGCCAGGGCCAATCGAGAGCTGGACTTGGGACGAGAGACGCGGGTGCCGGGGAGGTTGAGGGATCGGGAGGGTGCGTTTCCAGGATGAAGGGGACGAGCGGTCGACGACACATGGCGGGAGCGGCGACGCTCCCGCCCACCGCTTCGGACTTGTTTCCCTGCAGGACAAGACAACGCTCCTGTCAACCCTCACCACTCGCAGCGTCGTCGATGGGGGGAGAAAGGAGATCCCGAGTTCAGCCAGAGGACATGCTGGAGCGGAGCTGGGGGGGGAAGAGCGGGGGGGCACGAAAACAGAAGGACTGCGTGAAGAAGTCCCATTTGCGTGCGCCACCTTACTTGCCTCCCGCGAGGACATTGATCGCGCGATGAGGGATTTAGATCCCCCGGAAGTGGCACCGGACTTGCCCCAATGCTATGCTAGTGACTTGCGCGTCCCCAAAACGTATAGGGAGGCTGTGTCCTCTGAGCATGCTGACTTGTGGATGGCATCTGTAGAGAGGGAGTTCAGAGGTCTGATCGAGGCTGGTACCTTTGAGGAAGTATTGTAGCAACCAGAGAGTGTTATCAAGGCGAAGTGGGTATTTGATTGGAAGTCTGATGAATACGGATGGCCAACTAGTGTGAAATCACGGCTAGTAGCGAGAGGAGATATGCAGCGAGTACATGTAGATTGTGGAGAGACGTATGCACCGACTGTAGCGGTTTCTAGCGTTCGTTTATTGGCAGCGATGGCGTGTGAGCAAAATCTTTCTCTCCGTCATTTTGACATCAAGCAAGCATTTGTCCAGTCGGATTTGGATGAGGATGTTTTCATGCGTCTGCCAGAGGGGTGTGGTAGATTGTCAGGTATGATAGTGAAGTTGAACAAGAGTCTGTATGGCCTTAAGCAGGCATCGAGGAAATGGCATTCACACTTGGCGGGGTGTTTGGTTTGTTTGGGTTTTATTCAATGCATGGCGGATACGTGTGTGTTTCGATTGATTGAGGAGGGAAGAGTGGTAGTAACTCTGGTGGTACATGTAGATGATATATTTTCGATAGGAGAGGAGGAGAGATGTGACCAGTTTGGCAGAGATCTCAACACCATGGTACCGGTGAAGAATCTTGGGGATTTGAGGTGGTATTCAGGATGCTTTTATGAGAGAGATTGGGATGCAGGGACTTTGAAGATATCGCAGCAGACGTACGCTGAAGAGTTGGGGATGGAGTTTGGGGTAGAGTACGGGAAGGAAATTCCTCTTCCTGTAGGGTTGAAGCTTTCAGAGTTTGACCAAGATGAAGAAGTGGTATCAAGGCCTTTTCGTGAGCTGATAGGATCATTGATGTGGCTGGCAACGCAAACGAGGCCAGATATCGCGAACGCAGTGAGAGCGGTAGCACGGTACTGTGCCTCTCCCAAAGAGATTCATTGGAGAGCAGGTCTTGGTATTTTGGGGTATGTGGTAAGGACTAGTGCCTTGGGTATTACATTCAGGAGGGGTAGTGTAGCAGGGTTGAGCATGGAGGTGTTCGCAGACGCAGACTATGCAAGTAAGGCTGCCGATAGGAGGTCTGTGTCAGGAGGGTTGGTGATGTGTGGGGGGGGATGTATTTCTTGGTTTTCAAGGACGCAGAAGTGCGTTACGTTGAGCACGACAGAGGCGGAGTATGTCTCCCTTGCGGATGTGATGAAGGAAGTGTTGTTTCTGAGGCAAGTATGGCGTTTCATGTTGCCAGAAGCCGGTATGCCGTGTATTCCGGTGTTCGAGGATAACCAGGGGGCTATTCAGTTGGCACAGAACCCAATTAGCAACAGTAACTCGAAGCACATCGACGTAAGGCACCACTTTATCAGGGATTTGGTACGCAGGAAGGAGATTTCGATTTTTCACGTGGAATCGGCGTATCAACATGCTGACTTCCTCACGAAGGCACTTAACGTGGGAAATTTCGAGTTTCATCGTAACTTCGTAATGAGTATGGATTAAGATTTTTATGTTTGGGTTTATTTTGTGTGCGATCAAACAACTAGGGTGGCAATATTTTGCATTTTTGCCTATGGTTTTTCTCAATGGATGGTGTTCTAGGCTGGGGGGCAATTAGTTCGCTGAAGTTCGAAGAATTATAACTGGTATGATCGGGGAAGGGTATTGATGTCTAGCCAAGAAGGCTATTGTTCTGGAGTTGAATTGAGTTTATGATTTTATTTTCTTGTGTTTTGGAGTTCTTGAGGATCGAAAAAGACATGGCATGGTCACAAGCAGGGGGGCTGATAGATATACTTGTAGCAATGCCAAGTGGTTGTAGGATTGTGTGGTACGTGGAATGTATTTCCAGGGTGTGCAAGGTACCCCTGTTGTATACTGCGTCGCCCCCGTACTGATGGTGCGTGCGCGTGTGCGTGCAGTTCGTTCATGTGTTCATGTGAGTCCATGTTTTTCATGTGAAGAAGAAGTCTATACAACAAGCCCAGCACATCTTTCCTCCTTGGCGCGAGTTCGCCGAGTTGCCGACACCCTATTCAACACACGTCTTGCGACAAGCTACCCCCAGTTCGGATCATCCTAACACCGCCGCCGGTGGGGTAATATTTTGCCTATGTTCCGTCAAATAGCGGCGGAACCTCGGAATTTGGCTCGAACGTATCTCCCGCTGAATCCTCCTATCTCCCGCTTTGCGACAGACGCACAGGTCCTCCTCCACAGCACACACATCACAACACAAACCTACCAAGCAAACCAGCTCCAGCGATTCAACACCTCAACACTGACATCATCATGGCACCGATGAAGTTGACATACTTCGAATTTGTGAGTGTACATTTTTTGGGTGTAGATTACATACATCGAGCGATAGTCGGCGCTGAGCGCGTGTGTGCGTCCGTTCATGTTCATCATGGTTGTGCGCCTGGTGCTCGTGCTGCTATGAAGGCCCTATGCGTCATCGGACTGCTCATCCAGATCTGACAACTTCCCTTGTACCCCGCCTCGGCGGTCGTCACGCTGCAGCACTGCTGGCCCGCTCATCACAAACATGCTCACAAATCGAGAGGCTACGAGTTTTAGTCTACACACGCATCACAGATGTCAGGATATTAGCCTTTGGCACCGCAGAGCTCGCACGCCACAGGAAGCGAATACCGTGCGCTCATTCGTTGAGAGATGGTAAAGGCTGTGAGCCTCGTGGAAGTAGGTGCTTCGTACGAGCGGGCCGGCGCTACTGAGCTGGGAACAAAAGTTTGACGCACATTTGCAAGTGACGTATCCAACGCCCGTTCAAAAACAAATCTGTTGCCTGTCCGTTTGCCTCGCAGGCCGCCCTGGGCGAACCACTGAGACTAGCGCTGGCACAAAGCGGGGTTGAATGGATCGACAACAGGTTGCCGAGTGAGGAGTGGCCCACTCTCAAGCCGAGTGAGTCTGCTGAGGTAGTGCTGTTCTCTCGGTACAGCTGGAGGTTGTCTATTTTGTCGGAGTAGAGCTGCTGGAGCTCTGTGCTTGATTTCGACTCTCGGGACGATATTTTGCTTTCGATCCGGAGATGCGTCGAGATCCGTCCTCGTCAAAAGCCAAACGGTCTGTCTCTCAAATATTGTTATTTGCAGCTCCAGTCTCCTCTCTTGCGGCCTGGAGTACCAGCTAAAGTAACGCGCAGCACATGACGGTGTTGAGAGGTAGCTTTTCATGGAGCCAGGTCTCACAGACACCGATGGAAGTCTAGACTAGATATGAGCGTAGACTACAGCAGCAGCAGTTTTTTTTTTTTGTCTTGTCACTTCAAATCAGCCCCTCTACTGCTGTAGTGCCGTTTACACCAACC